TGTTGTATATTCCAAGTCTGCCACTCAGTGCAATTCTAGTCATGCATATCTCCTTGTTTCTAAATCAACATTACAGGTCAAGTTGCGAGCATAAAGAAAACTGAACCTATTTGCTCTCGCCTTTGCTTGAGTCTGGAATATTTTTTTTTGTTTTGTTCCGTAAACTGCAAAGCAAATGGGAAAATAAATACAGAGAGAAAGGAGGTAATGCTTCGTAGTTACCGCATTGACTGCGGTATTTAGGGGCGTAGCCAGACGTGAGAAATCTGTATGCACAGTGGAGGCAGAGCAAGGTCAGGGTAGTGTCGGCAGAGCGTGGGTGAGGAGAGAGAAAGGCAGAGTTCAGGTGGGGAGCAACAGAGAGAGAGAGAGAGAGCCGTGGCGTTGGAAGAGTTTTCTACCTGCAGCTGATATCTTTTTTTCCACTGAACAACCGGGCTGGGAACGGTTCAGGAGGTGGCGGTTGTCTTTTGTTCCACTGCATAAGACAAACTGACGAACCGTGCTGCCGATGTCGCACGCAGTGAACGTGTCGCTAGTGCTGACCCCGGCCCTGCTTGGCCCCGATGCAAATCAGACGTCTTGTGAGACCAGCGTATCACAGTTTGGATCCGACTCAGCACAGCAAATAGCCCGTGGAAAACCATCCGCCACCGCAAGGGCGCCGCGCTGGCTCGGCTCGGATGTGCTGGTGGAAAAGGGTACGAGTCGCACCACTGTGTTGTGAGCCGCTCGATCCATGCATAGCACGCGTGCTGAAGCGTGTGATGCAGGTGTGAACCGTACGTTGCACTTTACGCGCATGCAAAGTACGTGTGCTCACATGAAATGTATTTCTCATAATAATAGTTTACGTCTTCCATGGAATTCTCAGGCCTCATTTTTTCAGGAGGGTCCTGCTTTTGGTGTGTTTGGACAATTAGCGTTCTGAGTGTTTGTGCAATGTGTGATGAACGCAGGGATGAAGAACGCTCAAAAGCCACTAACATAGTACGTTTGAAAACCAATCATTGAAGCGTATTCTTTGGTGTTCAGAGAGTCTATAATTATTTGTAGAACTAGCTTTTTTACCCATCCAAGGACCGGTGTATATTGCAGTAAATCTGAAATATGCAATAGAAAGATTGTTCAGCTCATGATTATTAATGAGGGGGGTTGCCCCATGTAGAGTGACGTCACCCACTAATGGTTTATTGGGGAGGGGTGCGGCATGTGTAGTGACGTCACCTCCTCATGGTTATTGTGGAGGGGTGCGGCATGTGGAGTGACGTCACCCGCTCATGATTATTGTGGAGGGGTGCGGCATGTGGAGTGACGTCACCCCCTCATGGTTTTTGTGGAGGGGTGCGGCATGTGGAGTGACGTCACCCCTCATGGTTATTGTGGAGGGGTGCGGCATGTGGAGTGACGTCACCCGCTCATGATTATTAATGAGGGGAGGGGTGCGGCTTGTGGAGTGCGCGCCCTTGTGCGTTCGTGTCAATTTTCACGCGGGTATGAATATTAATTAAGGGGGGCTCTTTTGCAGTGACGTCACGCACGGGTGTAGCACTGTACTGCGTAGATTTATTTTTTACCATCACTTTCTGTAAAGAAACGTCATATTTGAAGCGACTTTGTGTAATCAATTATTTCATTCAGCTCGACCTTCCTCTGCGTTAGTGTAAAAATTCACCCACTCATTAATATTAATGAAGGGGGGGTGGGCCTCATGTGGAGTGACGTCACGCGGGGTGGTGGGCCTCATTTGGAGTGACGTCACGCGGGGGTGGGCCTCATTTGGAGTGACGTCACGCGCGAGACGGACATTATTTGGTTCAAGAATGATATATTTTTTTACCTGGTAATCTTTCACCAAATTAACCCGGGAAATGGCCCAATCTCGTCAGATCTCAGAAGATAAGCAGGATTCTTGAGCCCGGAAAGTGCTCGGATGGGCAACGATGCGTTAAACGGGTGATATAGGCTGCGATGCTGCACCACGGGCAGCAGAAGACAGTGCAGTCGAATACATTGTTGTACCTTACTTATATGCTCCCGTATCCATTGTCATCTGTGCTCCTCGCCTTCGCTGACCTGCGTAGTAAAGTATGGTCAAACAATCCTTGGGTAGGGAGGCTTTCATCCAGCAGTGGATTTGACGAAAGGGTTGCACATGTGCGTGTACAATATTTCACCGTGGATGCATGTACGGTCACCCTTGAAATAGAGAATTATTGTCTCAGAGTGACCTCTCACCTGATTCTCAATAAAAGTCACCGATTGATTTATCGATTGCAAAGCAGAGCATAACGGGCATGTGTTTATCCCCCTGTTATACAATCGACTGAGCAGTTGTGTGAGCTCGGGACACGGGGACTTTTAGAGCCAATAAATGTCACTACGAGACTTAGCGCCCCCCCAACCCCCCATATAATCTGGTTGCTAGGTTATCTGCCTCACTTTCCACAGGAACGGGACAAGGGGCCCTGGAAGTTCATGCCCAGAGCTAATCGTTGATTCCTTCTCACCATGCAGTCCCCACCTAAGGAAATAATCACCGCACCCTGTCTTGTTTATGCTTGTCCGATGAAAGTAAGGCAAGCAATGATCCAATTCACACCGCTGTGTGAACTGGAGGTGAGACCTGGGCCCATAACAGTGGCGAATGCAAACAGCTCATCACAGGCGGCTGATTTCTTGGAAAGACACGAAAACAAAATAAAGAGGTTTTGTGAATGAACCGATCAACCATTGCTAATGTCAATAAAGAATGAAAGCTTTCGTGACTGCATAAAATTACTCATTGTTTTTTTTTCGGTAAAGTCACGTATGTAGAAATACATACGTGACTTTACCGAAAAAACCAATGAGTAGTCATTGCTAATGTCCTTCACCGAAGAACACCGGCCAATTTGTGTCCCAAATGCTCATGGTGGCAAGACGTTAACTACCACGTGCCGCCAGAAAAGAGAGTGAAGCGAGCCTTCTGATGGACACCAGAAGGGTGGGCAACATTAGCGAGGATGACCATTGAGGAGCTGATCAAGAGCGTGCAAAGGGACGTTACATCTGTTGGATGCACTTGGGAGGAGCACCTGCCGGTTGGCGCAGGATCGTGATGAGTTGCGTCAGCAAGACGGGATGGACCTAGCTATAGGACCTTGTAATGAATACACTGTGTTGGAATGTCGGGTGAATGATTAGGTAAGTGCGTTGGTTGAATGCCCGGAGTGCAATGTTGGGTTAATGCGTAGGTTGAGTTGCTGTGGTATAGGTAACGTTGTATTGGGTAATGGTTGTTTTGTGACTACGCGTGCGATGAGTGAGGATTGAACATTCTGTAGAGGTTCCATCGTCATCTTTCTCGGTTGACTCACCCTTGATGGACATCTGTAAAAGAAGAGCTTCATAGCTCATCGGATTCCTCCAGTCTAAATGAAGATTCTGATTCATTTTACTTTTTTATAGTCTTTAAACTATTCTTGAGATGGTTGATCAAAAATTTATACCAGATTGTGGTAAATATATATAAAATGCAGATTAATATGATAATCATTCACAGCCCTTCGTTATTCCACGGCTAAAGGAAGGCCTCCTAACGCCGTGCATTAACGGAGGATCGTTTGACCTTACTTCACCAACCCGGTTCAATGCTGGTTGTGGATGGGTGGGGCCCAAGTCCGCTTCAGACATCACTCAACAATGATGACAGTCACGGCCGGGTATTGAATTGTCTGGGTTCATACCGCAGCGTGTTAACCACTGTTCAACCACTCCCATCGATGATTAATGTATTTAAAACCGAGTACATTATAGTGTAGGTTGCGGAAGCATGAATAATTTCATATAGACGTAAGTTGTATAATGCATCTGTGTACGCGTTTTCATACTGCACACGATGTGGCCCTGTTGGGGATAATTCCATTAAGCAGAATACATTCATAGTCACTCAATATTGGAATCTAACACTCACTAATGTTACTCACTGCTGTTAAGCTATAAAATGTAAATTGAAAATTGTAAAAGATGCTGCCTAATAGAAAACCCTCACGTTCAACATGCCCATCATGCGATGTTAAAATTTTCATTTTCCTTTTTAAACGATAAAATGGTCAAATTAAGCGGTAAATGTCTAAGCAAGAAAATATTGCTTAAATAATTTAAAAAATATATAAAAGTGCTGTATTTTAATGTGTAACACATGTGAATGTTTTTTTGGCATATCTCCATGATGATACAGCTGAGTGTGTGAAATATAATAAATAAAACAATACCTTATGCCATTTAAATGTTATTCCAATAAAAAAAAGTATCAATATTCTTGGTTCTTTCGGTAAAGTCACGTAGAAGAGAGAGAGAGAGTGTGAGAGAGAGAGGGAGTGAGAGAGAGAGTGTGAGAGAGAGTGTGTGAGAATTTAATTGTTTTATATTTTTATTATTTTATTGTTTTCCTTCTACGTGACTTTACCGAAAGAACCAAGAATATGAATCCCTGCAGTCACGAAAGCTTTAAATCAAAAGTATCAATACTCGAAAGAATGTCTATCGTGTTGTCGGAGGATTATTTTGAAATAAACCTCAGAACGATGTAGATTTTTGGTGTCTGCGCTCGTTTAAATTTCATTACGACAGCAAATAAGGCCACCGCTTTTTGCTGCAGACACGGAAATTGATGTTTGATTTTGTAGAATCTGGATGTTAGTCTTAATGCCCATTTCCATTGCGCTTCATCTCAGTTGCTGTTTGAGTAACACATGGAAGCCATTGTGGTTTTTTTTATTGTGCGTGGCTTGGTAAATGTCAACAAAGTGCTTTTTTTCTTATTTAAACACTTTTGAGTATGAAATTACATCGGTCACAATCATATAATAGTCAGACGCGTTTGAGTAGACGAGCGTGATATTTTAACCTGGAAATATTCCTGCCCGCAGAATATCGCTCCTGCGGGAAGGTCCGCGGAGCTTTGTTGTGATTGCTGTTGTCGTTTTTGGCTTGAAGTGGGCGCGTGTTGCTTTCAGAATTACTACCGATTGGGACGACAGCTGGGCAGCGGCAGCTTTGGGACGGTGTACGAGGCCACTCATGTCGAGACCGGAGTAAAATGGGCCATCAAGACTGTCAACAAGGAGAGGGTCAGCTCAACACTGACACGTACCCTTTTCAGCGCTCCCAACGATTGTCTACTTACCATCAGTCACAATCAAGCCCTCGTGCCAAGAATGCTCTAACGGGGGGGGGGGGGGGGGGGGGGGGCTGCCAGTGTATCTGTACTATCTTCCTTATTAAGAGTAGCATTGTTTGAGGCTTCAACACACTGTGTGGGTCCAAAGGTGCCACTTTTTCAGGTTATATTTTTGTACACACATTAGATGTGCCACAATAAACCACACTTCTATCTCACAAACTGAGAATGGCACACCGCCATTGTCATTAACACTGCCTTAAAATAGGAATATAAACACAGTGTAAGCTACAATTTTGGACAATATATATTTTTCAGAGTGGATAAAGGCCACTGGCTATCTTAAAGCCTTTGAGAGCAAAGATGTATTCTGAATATGGGCCATTGCCCCATGCATTGAATCCATCTCTGCAGAGCTTTCAGTGCTATCCCTTCATATGTGCGGGTAATTGAAGGTGCTTCCGTTTTCATGTCAAGCAATCCATGTGGAATCGCGCACACATTCCAATGCAGGACCCTCATAATGCATTGTGTTTAGGCTTTTCTAGGTACAAAAGGACATTATAAATACTAACTTGATGTAATGTAAATCTCTCCAATGTATTTTCCGGGTTGTTACCACATGTTGTTCGGCACGGTGTCCTACATTTCACAGTATTGGTAAAAAATAAGCAGAAAATACTAAATGTTAATATGTTCCAAAGCACATTAATTATATTATTTGATTTGCAGCCACACATAATGTAAGTTGAAGTATAGCTGCATTAAAGATGTGCATATCTATTGCAGACACTTTGCCATAAAGTGTAAGTGTTCAAACTTCACGGTCATACACTTATGTAATCAAAAGAGGCCAATAACTCAAAATTAAATTCACCTCCGATAGTTAAATCAGACCAGACCCCATAACGTTATAATATACATTTATGGGCCTAGGTATAAAATATTAATAGGCAGAGCCTTCAATTTAATCATGAAAAGCGATGAATAAGTTACTTAAGTCCTTCATACATATGTGAAACTTTGGAATCGGCAACCATTTCGCCCGAATATAAATTTTGCTTGAGTTGCGAGCTCGTGCGAAACACCGGTTGTTGATGGCAATTAGCTGGCGGAGGGCCTCCATTGTCTGGGGGTGGCCTTCGTTGTCTTCCTTCCTATAATGACCCCCCTCCCCCTTCTCTCTGCACCCTTGATAATGTCAATGAATCAGTCACTGGGGGTGGCTGGGCGGATCAGTGTCTTGACATGCATGGTGGGGTTTTCAATTTTTACTCTTAATTTGGGATACACAGAGTGGCCCAAAAGTCAGGATACATAGGGTGATTATATTTTAACAAATCACGCAAGGCTATCTATTTATTTATTTATTTAAACAATCCAATATTTATGTCAGGGTGCAACGTATTAACGTCTTCAGCAACTGATGGGTACCTGCTGCCTTCATCTTCTTTAGCTCATTCGTCTTCAGTCAATTTTCTTTCAATTTTTAAATTTCATCTTAAAAGGAAGACAAAACATAGCTATTAATAATGATAATTGATCAAATATTAACTGATATAATAAACATTTTTTTTGTTTATGCCAGTGTTAAAATATTGAAATTATCCTATGTGTCCTGACTTTTGGGCCACCCTGTATATATATTTCCCCAATATAGTAGAAGTTTAGGATACGGGATTTGTATACAGTCTGGTAAACTCTAACTTGTTTCCCAGTAGATTTTGATTTAAAGCTTTCGTGACTGCAGGGATTCATATTCTTGGTTCTTTCGGTAAAGTCACGTAGAAGGGAAACAATGAAATAATAAAAAACTATAAAACAATACAATTCTCACGACGTTTCGACTGCAACACAAGCAATCATCATCAGGTGTGAAAACCACAACAAGAGATTCCGCACATCCTCGATCAGGTCACTGTTGTGGTATTTGGTTAACAGAAAAACAAAACAATATACAATCGCCTGCCATGTTTTTGACAACGGCCCTGCTTCAGAGCAGGGAGAGCGAGAAGATGGCCCTTCTTCTGAAGAAGAATGGACACCATTGCTCAAAACGGCAGTCCGTTATTTAATTATTTCTGTTGTACGCCGGTGCTACTGATGAATGCGGTCAGTGTTTTTTTTTATTTGTACTTGCACACCACTGCCAACACGGAGTGTTTCGTCTCATCTGATTGGGCTGCTCCTGCGTGTGAGCACAGCCCATTGTCCACTCTGCTGTGGCCCTCTCCGTGCTCTTGTTTCACTTTGGTGGCGTGGCAGGGACACACGCTTCGGGATGCAAGGGTATGGTTTTTGGAGGGTTTTCTTTTTCCTTCCCCATAACGGTTACCGAGCGCAGGCGCAGAGGCCCAAGACACCAAGCAGCCAGCAAATAAAGAGCCCTGTTAACCTTGCAACAAATAAGAGTTAATAGCTTTCTTGAATTGAGTAAGGTTGTAAGAAGTTGGGAGAGCAGATGACGGGAGGCAATTCCATAGTCGAGCAGTGCGAGGCAAGAAGCAAAACGAGAAATGTTTTCACCTGCGGTACGATGGACGACGCGGACGAGACGAAATGGTCATTCAACTGAAATTGAGTCCTCAGCATGAGCTGAGGAATCAATGAGTGAAGTTCGCGGGAACATTAACCATGGCAGTGGTGATAGACGGGTGATCAGGAGGCGACTGAACGCCAGTGAGCGAGTGACCAGAGTGAATCGGTGATTGCTGGATCATCAGTCAACCTGATTGCTTTACGTTGAATTCTACCAAGTGCGGCGAGGCAGGAGAACCTCATCCTCTGCACCAGATACCACAGCAGGATTCACACTTTCGGCTGACTTTATGCTTCGGCATAGGAGTGATAACAATAGCTAAACGTTCCGTGGCTTTAAGCATTCCACACACACACTACCACCCCACTTTGCCCAGAACAACGTGGATCTCTGCTCCTGTGTACCCAGGCTGGGAGCTCTGGGGTACGGCTCCTGGAGAGAGAGGTGGTCATTCTGAAACGAGTTCAACATCAGAACATCATCCACCTGGAGGAGGTGCTGGAGACCCACAAGGTAAATGGGGATACGAGTCATGATTGTGTCTCTCAGCGGTGCTCGCTATGCACACAGTCGTTGCTATTTTGGTTATGATCTTGCAATTATAGTGTTTGACTTGCATTTGGAAGGCTGCAATCCTTCCCAGGATCAACTCAGCCCCATAATCCCTCTGGGGGTGGATAGAACAAGTATACCTTTTTGGGAAGTCGGCAGTGATCATCACTTAAACTGGCCCTCACCATGGGAATGTAGAATTGCCATTGCTGGCTAAGGGCCACCAATAGAAATGTGGCAACTGAATGCTTGTTTGGGCATGGAGACACTTTGACTTTATTGTACTTTGTGGATGGTTTATTTAACTAAGAGCGGCACATACAGTATTTCACTCCTGCCAGCATCGTTGTGAGTCTTCTGCCAGACGAGACGAGGGCTTGTGTCCTCTCTAAAGGACAGCACGCAGTCTGCTGCAGCTGTTGTTGGCATAAGGCAAACTGCTAGAGATCCATTGCACTATGAACTGACCTTGCCTTGTAAGGAATTTGAAGGCGTTTTGACAACATCCACAGGTATGGCACGACACTCGCATGCTGGGGGAAACGAGATACCTTAAGTTGTGTTTTATCTCTCGGTTAATTGCGGGGGCAGCGGTTTGCTGGTGTGAACTGCAGGTTGTGTTAACCGTTTACCTGTTCTCCGTTTCCTTCCTAATCCCCTGGTATGTGGCACTCTGGGGGCAAAGGCCACCGGTGGCCACGTCTCGGCACCTCTGACACTTTTACAAAAAAAAAAGCTACTTCCATTGGCCGCACCTGTCAAAGAGAATTAAGGAATGCTCTTTCACATCTCAAAATTGGGTCTCGGCGGAGAGCCGATTGCTGTGCCGACAGCTTCGGTGTGGCTGCCCTCTTGAGTGGGTAATGTCTCTAAACCATTGCTGCTGTTAGTCACAGGATACTGCTGTTTTTGCACGGTTCCGTGGCCATGTAAGCTACCTGGGCGCTCAAACCTCAAGCTGGGGTTCGCTTGATTTTTTATTGCCTAAGACATTGATGGATTTGCAGGCGAATTGGTCCACTGTCACTTGTGACAGCGAACCTCCACGTAAAAAAAACCCACCAAAATGAAATTGAAACCCTTGCGTTAATCGAGAGTTACACTTATAGATTTAAAGTCTCCCTTAATAAATAAATTAGGAGTGCTGTCGCAGTGTTATGTTGACGTTGAAAGTGGCCCAAATCAGCCGCATCTTTTTCGTCGCGTATATTTGTGTTAAGTTTTGTGGTGATTTCCCGGCCATGGCTAAAACAAACAAAAAAATTATTGGAAGGAACACAATGATTGTCCAATGGTGAAGCTGCTCCCTTCTGTGTTATGTGTTCTGGCGATTTCCTGGCCATGGCTAACATAAGTTGTAAATGACATCTGAACCAGTCCTCGCCTCCCCCTTCACCAACCCACTGGGACCACCTCTGTGAAGTATGGTCAAACAGGTCCCGTAGGCACGGCCAATTATTTGACCCAAGGGTTGCATATTATTTACTTTTTGTTCTTTGTGTTATGAAGGATAACCAAATCGATTTTGCAAATCCAATTTTCAGATACGATGAATGAGCACTTACATCAAAGAAAACGTTCCCCAAAATTCAATACCTTTTGATCAAGCATGGGACACGCACGTCTGTTGTGACACCAGCTCAACCTGAAGCCTTGTGCAAACAATTGTACTGTCATATGATTATTTCCAGTGATATTTGAATTACTGCACACGAGATAAATGGTGAGGAAATTGCTCCACACGGTGTCTTTGGCAGTACTTGTTTTATTAGGCGAGATCTGTAGGAGAATTCGGAATATAATATGGACTAGCCTGTACCATTGTGAACACAGCCAAATAGGGAGTGAATAATGCAGGCATTGTGGGGGTCTTGTTCCTGCTGTGATTAATGTTTGATGGCTGAGCGACGGATGGGGATAGTTTGAATGTCTCCACACTACAATACATTGCGCTAACAAGGTCCAGCATAAAGAGCAAAGTAAAGTTGGAATATAATAAGCGCTGTCATTTAAATACACTCGTATTGCAGCACACGACAGGCATTGGCGCATTCAATATGCCGTTCTTTTGTACAATTCCTTATTATTCAGTTGGTATAAAAAGAGAATGTGCTCACGTTTGCTTTGGCCCTGGCTGTAAATCTTCGGCTTAGCAAGATCGTTGAGGTATATAGTAAGCACGCTGTAAAGTACCATTATGGATGCTTCACTAAAATGCATGGATTAGCAATAAAAAAATATTAGAATGGGCGATTTTTTTTGTTTTACAAAGGTGAAGGCTCAGTGTTTTGCATATTAAGTAGACTCTTTTCATGAGAAGGCTGTCAGATGAATGTCGAATCATTCCCTGCTGTTCATTATACACATATATAAACCATCTAAACACGTATTCATTTGCATAGACGTGAATTGTTTTTTCGAACCATATCCTTCTATGTTAATGAGAGGCCACTAAACAAATGAAAAACTCAGTCGTAAAACACGAGTTGTTCACATTTACAACAACATTTTATTCAAACAATGTTTTTGACTGCCAATCTAACAAAATAAACACGTTTCATCATTAACACTGAACGTCTCTTCTTTGGTTCTTTCGGTAAAGTCACGTAGAATGAGAATAAAATAATAAATTGATCAAATAAAACAACAATAAAATTCTCACGACGTTTCGGCCACAACACAAGCGGCCTTCATCAGGTGAAAGGACGAGACTATTTGGAGGACAGCGCTGTCCAACCAGACAGTCTCGTCCCTTCACCTGATGAAGGCCGCTTGTGTTGTGGCCGAAACGTCGTGAGAATTTTATTGTGTTATTTTATTTTATTTTATCAATTTATTATTTTATTCTCATTCTACGTGACTTTACCGAAAGAACCAAAGAAGATGAATCCTTGCAGTCACGAAAGCTTTGAATCGAAACTGAACGTCTCAATAAATTGTTTTTTACGCAGAGAGAGATGTATAAAGGAGGCTTTTTTTAATGTGGAAGAGACAGATTTATGTCGGCCACACATTCTCTACTCATCTACGTAGTTATTTATCTTCGCCACAACAACGCGAAAGTCTTTATTTTTACGTCGTTACGCATTTTAAAATTAGGCGAGCGAGTCGTTGGCATCACGTGACCACAACAAAATTACTCGGCGGTGAGAGATTCAAGATGTCGATGCCTTATTTGCTCAAAACAGTCACTGGGTGGAGCTCTTTGTTTATTGTCAGGGCTCTCCGCTCGTATTCGTACAAAAGGGAACAACAGCTTCACCACTGGACACTCGTTGTGTTCCTTTTCACAATGTTTTCTCTTCTAATTTTCTCATTTCCAGAGTCAACCCCCAAAGGGGGGGGGGGGGGCGGTTAACTCACAAATATTTGGTAGTGAGTCTTCCCATCCGTTTGACCACCTTGGTCAGATGTGTTGTATTTTGAACGCATTATCAGCAGCAGCCATAAGTCAGTCCCCCACGTATATGCACAAGATGGCAAATAAGCAGTGGTAATCTAAGTCCATCCACCCTATGTAGACCGTTAATAGAAGTACCACTTTCTGGAAATTCTACAGTGATCATTCTTTGGAGATAATTGCCTCTGACATAGAAATGTGGAATCTCCTTCACTGGCTCAGGGCTGCCCAAGTTAAATTAGCATTTGAGCACAAATATACTTTCACCTTTGCCTGTAACAGCACACACAGGCTCCCTCGTATTGAATGCTATTGGTCTTTCTACCCCAATGGAGTTAATTTGTGCTATTGGAATCATTGCATGAGACGTAATCCATTTGGAAATCTCAGAGGGCAGTGTTGCCCGTGTGTCTCTGAACAGCCCACACACGTCATTTGTCACGGGATTTCTGAACATCTTGCAAGTGGTGTATTTATCTTTTGCGCTTTCGCACAGGCTCCCTTATGATATCGTCGTGTGTAAGTCAAGCCAATATTACGATTGTTTCAATTCTCGAAGTTGTAAAACAGACAAATAAAGTGCGGGACCAAAATGTTACATAGTGGGTTTTAGTGTGTGTCGTTCACTGGTGGCTGAACCGAGCACCTTCAACTTGAGAGGTAAATTGGTCATGGTGTAGGCCATGCAATTACTTGCTCATGATGCTCTTGGAGGAAGGGCCTTCACGAGAGAGAGCTCAAGAGAGACCTTCGAAAAGGCATTTTGACATCCTCTTCTAAGCGGTCCAATACATCTTGGAAGAGGTCGAAATATCCGCACATTCTCCCACCACAGTTTGTCGTCCTCCTCCCGCACCTCCGACGAGCACGGTTGGCTACGTACGATGCGAAAGAAGTTCAACAATACATCACATGCTCATACCGTGGCCCGTCGACTTAACTTTGCTTAACACGTGGGAACCCGTTTTACATCACGGGTGGGCCTGCCCAAATTTAAACCCGGGACCTCACCTGTGAGCCGCCACAGCCACCGCTCCAGGCTGTCTGTTTTTGTTTAATTGAACGAACGTGCCCTGTGGCCGCGTTGCGCGTGCAGCGCGTCTACCTGGTCATGGAGCTGTGTGAGCTGGGGGAGCTGCGGGCCGTGCTGGAGCAGAGGAAGCGGCTGTCGGAGGCCGAGGCGAGGCACGTCGCTCACAGCCTGGCTGGAGCCATCGCGTACCTGCACAAGCACGGTGTGTGGCCCACGGTGGAAAACGTCAAGACGGTGGTTCATGTCGTTTTAAATGTAATCTTGAGTCGACGGTTGATTGTGAGTGGACGGCAGTCGTCAAGCGTGGCGATTGCTACGACTGGCTACGATTTGACGAGACAAAATTTGATTGAAAACGCAGACGAAGATCATTTAGTCACATAATCAGAGACTTTAGTGCACTGAGGAAGATCAAAAAAATGTTAATTGGCTATATATAATTTTTTTACTGATGTCACTTATTGACTAACTTGTCAACTAACTTGTCAATAAGTGCGTTTAAGTATGTTGTCCTTCCCCGGCACCTCCGATTAGCATGGTTGGCTACGTGCGGTGCGAAAGAAGTTCAACATACATCCATAATTTTGAGGGAGCAACATTGCATGCCCCTCATACCAACGATTAATTACTAATAATTACTAATAGTTACTGCTCTAGGCGATGAGACTTTGAGAATGACTCAATGAAATTCACAGACTTACGGCTTGACTAAAATTCCATTGACTAAAATGAAAAAAGGCCGACTTCATTAACGTCAAATCTCAACGCTCAAACGAGTGTTGGGGCTGCATTCAAACTCCCATCGGTAGCCCGAAGCCAGCAGTGTTAATTCCACATCCACGCAGTGGAAAACAGTTTCTGTATAGGGTGACCACTGTTGACTTCCCACAAAGTGGAATGTATTTCATCAACCGCAGAGGGATGATGGGCTGAACCAGCCTCCATTTGAACTTGCAGCCTTCCAACTGTGAGTCGAGCGCTCTTAACCAAAGAGCTAACCAACCGGATAATAGTAATTCAATTTTATTTACCCAGGAAAGCCTCACTGGGTCCATAAGACTTTTGTTAAGGCTAGTTCTATTAAGGATGTTTGGCCAGGTTCTTTTTTGTGTATTTGAGCTTATAGCAAGAAACGAGTGCCCAGAAAAAAGAACAAAAACAGCTCCTGTAGGCCTATGCGAGGGAAGAATACTCAAAACACTCAACTCCTGCAGAGATAGTTCAGAAGCATTCTCGATAGACTGGTTGTCACATGTTATCACTGCTGAAGTGGACTGATTTTTGAAAAGAAAATAATGCAGCTTGGTATTTTCAGCTTTAGTCATGAGCCTCATGCGGAGAAATCAGATTTCTCCCTGTGGAAATCACGCATTAACACATCACTCCACGCCTCCTCAGTACTCACGGCAGACAAAACAATCCTGCACTCCGTGAAAATGTCATTAAATGTGACTTTTAAAAATTAGCTTAAAAAAACAGAGGGCCACCTGGACAAATGGTGAAAAACGAACCCGAATAATTCCTTAATATGAAACTAATTGTGGCCTATGCAATATATGCACGTACAGGCCTTTGTCAGTCCACTGCTGGATGAGGGCCTTTCCCACACCGCGCAGGTCATGGGGGCTATTTGCCCATACATTACCACACTGCTCAGTGTGAGTCTGTGCAGGTGGGGTGCATCGATGTGGATCAGGGAAGCACAGGACCCACAATGGATGTTGCTGCACTGCCCTTCGCTGCTCACCATGTAGATTTGCAGCAGCCGATTACAACTTGTTGTGGATGGTGGTTGTTCATCCAAGCACTAATCAGGCTCAACCCTGCTTAGCTTGTAAGATCTGTTGAGAAATTGGCACATTCCAGATGAATTAGTCATATGCTGCACATAATGTACTCGAGTATGTATACTGCACTTGGAATTCTGCTGTCGAAAAATTAACATGAACAATTCTGTCACCTGATGATGCTCGTTGTAATTACTGGCGAAGCGTCGTACTCGAATTGTAAATGTTGTGGGTTTACTCTCCAACACACAACCGGCGTGCTGTACTAGTAACGAATTGGTATGTTTTGACCACGTGACAACCATTACAAATTTGCTGTGTCGTTGGTGGCAGGTTTAATTACGCATTTATATTTACGTGATCTAACCCAAAAAACCTCTATTATGAATAATATTGGTCGCGAAAGCCTACGTGTTTTACTGACCTGAAGAGCCGTTTCTGTGTAATGTGCCCTTGCAAAAAGCAGCCTCCACAGTGGATATCCAAATGAGATTACGGCTGAAAGTAACCAATTTTTTATTAGATAAATTAGCTCCCGCTGTATTTTGGGGCCTGACTGGCCTGTGTCTGTGCGTTAGAGTGCACGTGGTTTTTGCACTTTGGAGTCTAGAGAGGGTCACTCTTTATTGTTTCCCGCAGAGAGAAAATAGTACATATGTTTAAAGTCTGACGTCTCATACGTGCAGTACAACGTCGCATATCCGACTTGCCAGAGATTGAGCTAAAGGCGGATTTTCTGCAAGGTCGGATATGTGAAAATCCCTAGAAATGTTGTACCGTGCAAAATTCAAGCGCAAAACTGCTTTAAGCGTGGTACTTCAGAAGTTAGGGAATGTACGTGAGCTTAAGGACACCTGACTGCATGTGAAAGGGTCAGATGTGTGAACAGCCGAGAAAATAAGAGTTGCACTACGCACACATACTGCACTGGGCGTGGGCGGTTAATCGGAGAGGACAGACATGTGACAGTCAATTATGTGACGTTCTAATATCTGTATCCCGATCTCTTAGATCCACGCATTACCTGCAAATGTGACGTTTATATGAGCTGTTGATTTCCTGTAATAACATGCGGAAATTAAATCACTGCCACGTATACCTAAAAAAGACAATAACGCGATTTTAGCGACACATCGAGTGGAAAGATAGCTCAAGAAAGCGCTAAGGCACGAGCACGTGAACAACGCAACTGATACAAATACTGCAAACAACAGCTTGAAATAACGAAGAAAAATACTTTCTGGATTCTTAAGATTCAGTTTAAATGATAAAGGCTCCAGAAGCCAAACTGAAGAAAAGTATCGACGATCCTAAGAGTAGCAAGGAGAGACATCTCAAGCCAGCTTGTGTGGTTCCATTGTTTGTGTCTCGTGTTTATGGAAGTGGGATTGAGTTGTTGTTGTTGTGTTGCGCGTTGTTATCCGGGTTAATCTGGGTTTATGTGTGGGTGTGTTGTTGAATATTTCACAGTAGTTGCTGGTTTGTTTTATTATTTTATGGAGTAATGTAATGTTTTATTGACGTATTGTCGAGAGACACTATAAACATTTCACCTAATGTTGTAACTGCAGTAATGAAACCAAGTTGCATGAGCACAAGATGCCAACAAAAAATATTTGATACAAAAACATGCTTCAAAATTTTAACCTATTTTTGGACTAATTATTAAACATCATTCTTATATACTAAATTTTGTTGGCATAGCATTACGAGGTATGACTCCACTGGACACTTCGTAGGGAGGATGTCTTTATGGACATTTATTAAATACTAGCTCGTATGCCCGTCCTAGGATGGAAGCTGTAATATTTTACGGAAAAATCGAGCTTAGTTTAATTGTATCTTGTGCAAATTTAATGGCAGTAAATCTTGCACGAAAGTATGTCATCAAACACTTCACCGCATTTCACTGTAGCACTGTACTAATGGCAGTGATTCTTGCACAAAACGCCGTCATAAAACACCTCACTTCATATCACTGTAGCACTGTATATAACTGACCTTCAATTTGTTCAAATTCACTGCTCTGATACTTGATTCTCTTCTGCTTTCGGTCGCGGTGGCACAGTGGTTCACACGCCCGAGCAACACCCCGGCCAACTGAATTTGATTCCTGACCGTCGCTACTCTCGGTGGCGAGCGATATGTGAAGCGGTCCTGGGCCTTCCAGAGTTCGACTCTGTCTTAAAAGTGTAAAAAAAAACTCCAGCACTTGAGGCAATCAAAATCGGTCAGGTTTTGGTGCTGGTCACATCACCCTTATCAGGTGCTCGCTTTCAGCACTTAGACCTAACAGACAATGGCTTGACAACGGCATCAGAGGCTGGTGCCAGGAAGATGTGGCCCTCCTCGAGCATATTGGCACAAGACAGGAAAGTGGAAACAAATGATGAAATATGCAATGGACACCTACGGCCCATGGAACGTGATGATCATGATGATAATGTCAGCACTGACCCCTACAGTATGTTAAAGTGCAGTCTGTTAAAGGCTGTGCAGGCGATATTTGTACTTAATACGATAGGATATTTGCACATCTTTTGCCACCAGTTAGATGATGTGAAATGTGAGTCTATACCGCCACCTGCTGAGTGGCACGTAAAATATGGAATTTAAAATCAAAGCGTCGCTGACACGTCTACACACAGGACATTAGTTCACATTCTTCATATATATTTTAAACCTGGAGCCTATTAAATAAAAAAATATATCCTTATTCGTGATGAAAACTGCATAGCCTGGAGCGCTGTTGGCTCACGCTGTTTTTTTTATATTTCTGTCCAAGAGAAAAAAATTCGACTCAAAATTTGTTTCTGAGTGCCGTTAGGCCATGGAGGGGGCTAATGCCAAAGATGGCAAAACTCGAAGAAGCCGCACGTGGTTCCAGCTTTGCTGTAGAGTGCCCGTCTCTTTGATTGCCAGCAGGAGAGGCTCAGATAGATCGCATTTGCTCGGGCATCGGAGAAGACTCGGAGGTGGGCGCTGCGGGAGGTCAATCTCAAGACCTTGAGTAAGGGCATGAGGTCGGGCATAAGCTGTCTCATGGTTTTCCCGTGCTATTTGCAGGGACCTCTGATGAGACTCCCACAGCCATCCTTAAGATGTGTTAGTGAAGCCCACGTGATGTCCGCTGTAGCAAGGGTCCCGTTAAACAAAAGGTTGTTTGATAAATAGAACCCCTCCACAGGGGAATGCTGATAGCCGAAGGGTAGCTTATAGGTATGTTAATGACTCATCGATCCAAATATATAGTTACCGTAATGATACATACCAGAAATTGAGTGTGTTAACAATCGACTGTTTACAATACGTACAAATGACGTGGAAAGTTATGTTATCGTTTTACATTTAGGTTAACGGAGTGGACAAAACCGTAAAAATGTCAAGAGCGTGTACCGTGGTGGTGAATAATTCTCGCTTGGTGATGGCACCAGACATCGTGCACCGGGACCTGAAGCTGGAAAACATTCTGGCGAAGAGCAGCGAGCCGCACGAGGGAATCGACCACCTCGACATTCGGGTAAAGTCCCCCTGTTGTCCCCTGGGCCCCCAGCTGAGCGCACAGGAGGCAGCCACTTCAACACAGGGATCATCGCCATATCCTCCAGAGTAAAGGCACGGCCGCTGCACCCAGTTGGCTTGAGCGTGAGTCTGCAGTTTCGTTGCATGACGTAGTAATTAATTCGTACGCGGTGCAAATCCAAATACATTTCCGAGACCAATGCAGCACAATCACCAACACTTGGACGGTTGTCTAAATCAGTGGTGTTCTGTTGCATCACTCGCCGTATTATTCTACTGATAGCTGTGGCGGGGGGGGGGGGACCATGGTTCAAGTGCGACTTACAATCAGATGGTTGTAAATTAAAGTTCTGGGTTTGGCAGATGGACTTGGGGTTTTATCCTCTTGGTGAGACACCTTTTGAGTGAAGCCAACAATGGAATTACCAGCCCCAATTAGCGATGAGCACTGCCCCCTCGGTTGAGTGCGTATCTTGCTGCATGTTTTCACAAAGGGCATTATCGCTCTTTCGCGAAGTTGTGACACTGGCTAATGATGTACAGGTTGTGAGTTCTCACCCCGACGAGGGTCAGCAGTCCATCTTTCTGCATGTGTCACTAAGGCGAGCACCAACTGGGATGTCAATAATGGTTGTCTTATGAAGGGACCGGCCTCTCCTTGGGGAATGTGCGATATCTACAGTTGAGCAGTGTCCAAAGTTTAAAAGAACATGGGAACGCAGAGTTTAGTCTTTTAGATATTTATATATACATCAAATTTATAGCGTGCATACAGGTTTAAGCTGTGCTACTACACATCAGATGTGGACTGAAATAGTACGTCCTTTATTTTAACCTCACACATATGAAGTTAGGTTATATTATTATTTATAACAATATAATTTCACATGACGTTCATGGAAATTATCCCCCTATGGAACTGCGCAGGGAAGATTGTGCATGCTTGAGAGGGCGCAGGTTCAGTTAAAGCTGCCTCACTCAAATTTCAAAATCCTCTAATTGGATTCTATAATTGGCACCTTTAATTTTTATTTCTCCCACCCCCCCCCCCTCCCATGTTTATTTTGAGACCCCTATGCTGCACGGCCCCTAATTGGCTCCTAATTTGCCTTCTAATTGGCCATTGCAGCTGCTGAAAAGTCCTCCACCATGTTAACTCAGCATTTAAAGCTGGGCCTAGTGCTGCTGCCGATTTTGGGGTTAAATGCGGCCAGGCGAAATGTTTGTTCCCCAAACTCAAGTGTGTGCCGAGGGAGTCATGGTGCATTACCGAGGTCAGATTTTATTTTTTGTTCTCTCCCACTCCTGGGGGTTATCTCCACGGAGGGGTGCTTGGAACTCATCACGCAAGCCTCATTTTGCTTTCCCACCTACAACTTTGTGCATGCGAGCCTTTGTGGCCATTACATGCGCAGGGCATAGTAATGAAAGAGGGCGGTTGTCTGCAGAAGTTCATTAAATCTTAGTTATTAATGCAAGCCAATAACGGAGTGTGGGTTTACATATGATTGAGCACACACACACTTGTACAGTAGTGGATACTTTATAGGTTTTTTTTTTTAATCTTTGCTCATGCACACATACGCCTACGTGCCGTACCGGTTTATTGGTGCAAGTTGGTGTGGTTTTGGAGACAATTGAGGAATTTGTGTGGGTTTTAAGATGAGGTGTTATAGATTGAGTAATGCTTTTATGTGTGGCACCTTTAACAGCTTTTTGTCTTCAGAACTGTTTTTCGTGTTGAGGTTGTTTTCTTTACCCGCACCTCCGATTAGCACAGTTGGCTACGTACGGTGCAAAATAAGTCCAAAACACATACATGCATGCGGCGTTCTAAATCGAATAATATGTTATCATGGCATAAGTGTGTTTTATAGTAAGCCAGAATTCACAGTTTGTCGCTGTTCAACTGAGAAAGGGTGCTCATACCTGTCGGTGGCCCTGAGTGAGTGGTGCAAATTCCACATTCCTATGTTGGGGGCCAGTTTTCGCTCCAGTACAACCGTGACGATTGCTTGCTATAATTTACTAAACGTAACATAATTCACTTCTGTGTAAAGTGTTGGTACATCATTACACCTAAGACCACAATGGCAAAATATACGCAGCAAAAAACTGCACCTGAACGTGCTTCTTTGCAGAGTAAAAAAAAAACACACCCCCAGCAAATGACATAAAGTCACGTAGAAGGGAAACGATAAAATTATTTTAATAAAATTATTTTAATAAATTATTTTATTAAAATTATTTTATTGTTTCCCTTCTACGTGGTGACTTTACCGAAAGAACCAAGAATATGAATCCCTGCAGTCACGAAAGCTTTAAATCAAGACATTACTTGTATTATATATTTTATTTTATGTTAAGCAAAATTTGCATTCCGCACACTTTGCCTCCGAGCAGCATATGTGGTGTATGCATTTATATGCAGGTATGAATTCCAGCATCCAGAGACACCTTTGTATTTGATGCTGTATGAAAATAAATGCACCACATTGTATATTAATTCTCAGAGAGCAGGGAGGCGGGGTGGAAACGATTCCACAGAGGCGTCATTGCATCTGGAGGTGTAAAGTTTTGTGTCACTTAATACAGCTCCAATTATTCTGCAAATGACTCAAACATTTAATAATGCAAAGTAATGGTTGCCAAGCTGATTTGTGTAACGTGTGAGTCATTATTATATTAAGCAGATGCATCAAGCCATGATTGTTCATCTGCCGGTCCGTGCATCATTATGTGCATGTTTGTGAGTGCCAAAATTATTGATAATGTTACAAGTCACCGTGACAGACATAGGGGAGGAATGATTATTTTAAGCAGGTGGATAAGTATGAGCTGGGGGATTTTTTTTACACGACGCATTTTTTTAAAAACGAACCCCTACAAACTGAAATCAGACACCACAGGCATCTTCGGTTTGAGTTCCAAATGCCGGCAAGTATCAAGGAAATGAGCAATACTTTCGAATTTTTCACAATATTCGAACTTATTTACACTTCAAAAATTATATTTGTAAACAGTTTTAAAATACGAGGTCGGTAAATCAAATAAAACACTCTAGAATGCATATGGAGGACATTTTAATGTTGTCAAGAATATATAAAGCCACTGTAGGTTATTCTAGTAAAACAAACATATAAAGGCATTCATGAATGCCTTTGCCATTAGGCTTCTCTCATAGCTGTGGTAGTTTGCTGAATTTTTGTTTCCGATTTTTTTTTAAAAGGTCCAGGTCAATGCTAATGCCCAGCATTGGTCACCAGTTCACTTTCAAAAGTGCAGCCACATGAAAAGAAAAAGGCATCTAAAATGTAGTTAGGATTTTAAGACCGCCTCCAATTTGGAAAACGCGTACAGGATCCTCGGCTATTCACAACTCAAGTAGTTAGGGCATTCATGAGGCCAAGTGAAAACATAAACGAAACACCTCTCGCTACAGCAAAGGCTTTTTTTATGGCCAAGGAGGTGTACTATACTAACACCATTATCACAAAATAATGAGTTACAACAATGGGTGCTTTCACTTGATTCTGGGCTCTCAAGGTAAAAATGTATTTCCATCCGCAGCTCCGAGTCCAACACTGGGGGGATTGGCGAGTTCTGTATAAATGTTGGGTGTTCTTTAGACCAGCAGAGGGAACCCCTCTGGATTCGCCGATTGAAGAGGCCGAGTCGCATTGGTCTTGCTCGCTGGCGTCGGGCACGTGCACGTTGATCTTGCCAAACGCTAACCCCAGGCGCTGGGAAAACGATTGTCGAAGTTGAGTGTGAAGATCGCAACGGTGGAAACAGAAGTTGGGGCTCTTCGATTGCCTCCCTTAGCGCACGACGCCGAAAAACGGGAGCTCGGATTGAAATGAAAGAAGAACAAAAGCGATTGCACGAGCGAAGGGCTGCGGATACACGACGAGGCAGCTAGGGGCTAAGAGCTGGAATAGAGTACCATCTGTAAAATACACTAACGCCGACCGCAAAGTGAGATGCAAAAGAAACGAAGGGTAAAAAACAAATTTGGCAGCAAAACAACAATAATTGACGGGAATATTTGTCCATTTTATTTTTTTACTAGCCGTAGAGAGAGCAAATTATTATGTGGGCCCTTTTGGATTGGTTGTGGAATAAAGTTTTTTTTTGCGTGGCTGTGATCGTTCTGCATAATTGACCTCGCAGAGATGCACGGCTTTACGCATTGGTTCATGCACGCACGAACCTAGAGCCTTTGTTCAATCCACTGCTGGATAAAGGCCTCCCCACTGCACTCACTAAGGACTGTTTTGACTTGGGGAAAATGTCCGTACTAATACAATTGTAATGATATATATAACCCTTGATCAATCCACTGCTGGACGAAAGTCTGGCGGTTGTTGGACCATACTTCACCACACCGGTCAGTCCGACTGAATAAATAATAGCCAGCGTACAGCCGTGATGGCTGCCTAATGGGCGTCAATTAACGAGCAGCCCAACAACGGTCCAGGGGAATTGCTTTGCGATTTGGCGCACGTGGAAGCGGTTCTGTATGCGGCGCGCACAGGCGACGGACGCGCTGCTGTGCTGTAAATACTCAGCGAAGGGAACGGGCGTGCGCTCGTGGATGGCTGATTTTCAGGAGGAACGCGGGGGGACACGAAACGCACAAAAGAAAGACGGCAAGAGGCCCGCTCGGGAGGGGCTGTGGGCACCAGCACAAGGATGAAGGGTAGAAAGGAAGAAGAAGTGGGGGGGGGGGGAAATCCAAAGCCCTTCTCTCATTCATTTTTAAATAAAGGCAGCGTCCGCGCATCTTTGTCAGCGGAAAGGGGGCCGGTGCGCTAATTAGCTCCGCAGAGTCCCATTAAGCGGGCGAGGCCCACAGAACGGAGCACCCCGGCCTCTCCGCCGCTCACCCTTTAATCAGCCGGCCACCGAGCGGCGCGTGGGGAAGCACGGCTCTCTCGCTCTCTCTCGCTCCATATCAATCCACCCGCCCCACAGGTGACGGACTTTGGGCTGTCGGCGGTGCGGGAGGGGAATGGAGCTGCCTCGATGCTTCAGTCTCCGTGCGGAACGCCCATCTACATGGGTAGGGCAACGCCTGCCCTTTGTCCGAGTCCTCTGCTTCACCGTTGCCCTCCCCTTCACTTAAATCTGCATGTCTCTCCATCTTTCGATGATTCCATGCCAAAAAAGTATTTGTCATTAACCCTGTACGCAGTCACTGTCTTTGACTCTGGGCCTAATTTATCTGTTATTTTATTGATTTATATTTTGCAATATCTCCCCCCTCGGTTATCAGTGTGGTACAACTCTCTCTCTCACTGTCTGTTTCTTTAATAACCAAGCTTTGGCATGCAATTATAATGAAGTATTTTTGCATTTGAGTTTTATTCATTCGACCCCAGCTGCTATATTAATGCTAAACTTTTCTCGTACGTAAACTCGTACGAATGTGAATTTCAATATGACTTTTAACTCGTACAAAACAACAATTGCCACATGTTTGCAAGTCTTCGTTAATGACGTTTTGTTATGCCCATGATGAACAAAAGATGAGACGTATCAACAGGAAAATGTAATAATACGATCATTTAGTATCAGCTGTTTCACTCGTATCCTATACTCAATAAAAACCCTCCAGGATTGTTTTGTTAAAATGTCCCATATAACCTTGCGGTGAATGTGAAATGTCTGTGGGACTTGAATCAAATCTCCTTTGGATCCATAAAGTATTTCGGTCTTGGGGGACTACTGTAGGGAATGTTCATTAGGATGAAATATATGATTTTCCGTTAATAACGGTGTGGGTTTGCGTAGCATTTCATAAAGGTGGGCAATATCAGTCCATATATTAACAGAAACCTACACGTACAACCCCTTCCTCACTACGCGAGATTCAGCCTCTGGTCAGTCTACTCTATAAGGTAATGCATCTCGTTCTGCTCTTATCAGGCCTCGTTTGAGTGCTGCGAGGTAGGAAGGAGCCATACCCATCGCAACTCAAGAGTCAACACTCCCAATGTCCTGTTCTGCAGTCTTGCAGTGTGTGCAGAGTGACAGATACAGCTTATTACTGATATTGATGCGTTGATGACGTTCTGCCAAGTTGCTATGGCCGTAGGCTTTCCGTTTTAATAATGCGTTTGTTTTAACCCATGCCTGCCCAAGAGACCCACACAACATGCCAAGTCCTTGTGGAGCATCAGCAGCGGGCCTTTGTGCTGCTGCACAAGGACTGCTTTTCATTAACGCGGAATGCTCACCTCGTTTGAACAGCATCATCCTATGTGCCGAGTCTTTTATCAATCCACTGATGGGTTACTGCCTCCCCACACCTTTCAGTCAGGGAGGGTGATTGACCATACCACGCTGGTGAGTGCAGGTTAGTGAAGGGATTGACTAGGACCGGTTCAGATATCACTTGCCATTCACATTAGCCAAAGCTGGGAATAAAACTCAGGATATCGGGTTCAGAGCGCACTGCGCTAACCACTGTGCCACCACTCCGATTATTTATCATATACGGCAAACATCGCGCAATCGAACGCAATGTTATTGTTAAGCTGTTTTTATTTGAGGAAAATGAAAAGGTGTTAGTAGGTTAACGTGTATGTGTTTGAACAAACATAAGGATCTCCCATCCAAACTCGTAGTCTGATTGGCCAATTACTGTTTAGTGAGCACCTCGGAAGGCAGGAACAACAATGCACTGCGTGGTGGTGGTGGTGGTGTGACCAGCATCCACATTAGGATGCTGTTGTCGCACCATTGCAGATGTGAACACAATGCGCAAGATATTTGTGCTATGCTGAATCAACGTGGGAGAGGTGTGTTCTAGGCTGAGATACCATTTGCCAATGGTGTTGTATATCATGGTCACATATTAATTCCAAGCCACGGAGATCTTAGAGAGCAGTGTACAAACTCCATGCATGCACATATAACAATACGCTAATAATATACGTTTACATTATAATATAGCGTGTTTCTACATTAGCTTTATAATATAGTGCGTTTCACGCTATGTTATAAAGCTAGTTAGAGTTAAATAATAACATCTTTATCAATATTTATATATACTGCATATAGCAAAGGGTAAATTCCCATTAAGCATCTTCCTTAAATATGTTATTTAACGTGAGGTAACGTGATTTAACATGCAAACAATTTCCGTCTCTATTCACACTCGATTGTATAATCTTGTAATATTCTTGAGTCTCTGTTGAACAAAAACATTCATGTCCGAATGATCTTTCGCCGATGGTGAAGGTAAACAACAATAACAGCGTTATCGCTTAAATGTTCTGCAAAACCCTTCACAGTTTCAGAACCTTGCTTTGAAGAGCGCTGCATCCTCAACAAAGCGATACTCTGCAACTTTATTTTGTCAGTGGCCAAATATAAATGCATTTGAGCGTTATTTATATTAAAACGCACGTTGCAGCCGTTGCATTGACACCATAGGGCGCAAGTGTAAATTGCCGGTTTATAGAAGTAAGTGGCGCAAATGCCCTCACCGAAAGCACAGCGTCCGTTGCTGCTGGGATAGATATCGGTTCTCTTTGTGAGGCAGCAGTCTAAGACCCTGAAGGGTTCATAACTTCACTAAATCTGTTTGTCTTGCTTTCCCTGCAGGCGTCTCTATAATCGTTGAATCTGTTGGCTGCCTTGGAGGTCTTAATTCGGATCTCACGCCTGCATTTCACGAGTTTCTCACTGTACTCGCAGGCTGCTGCTGTGTTTTTATTGAGGGCTCTTTTTGCTTTTGTATACATATATATTTCCACACTTGCCACGTTTATTATGTGCAGAGTTAAGATTTTGAATATACGGTCCTGCTGTTCCAAGACTGTTGAATTGTAACCGAAGTGCATGCAAAGCTCGTTGTTAATTGGTGATCTTCATTTAACTTATTTGTGCGGGGAGACGTAAATAAAAGCATTCGATTGCTTGTTTCTTGCATCGAGCCCAGATTATTCACGACTGATGAAACCCCAGCTTCTAAGCACTGTTGGATTAGTGATGCGATGCATTGCAACGTCATTTCGATTTGCAATGCATTAAAATACGACCACTTCTCAAAAGAGAGCATAGGGTTCGGGAGGAGAATCCTGTAGCAAGGAGAAGAGGTGGTAAGCTGATGGGAAGGGGGCTAATAGGCAACGTAACTTAAACGAGGATGGCAGCGGAAATGTTGAATGGACAGGGGGCAATCACAGGGCAACGACCAGTGCAATGAACACCTGCTGCTTTGTACATATTAAAAATCAACGTCGTCGTCATCATCATCATTTGTCCCTTCCGAACGAATCTCGCCCATGGCTTTCTTTTTGCGTTGTCGGCAGTGTACCCGCTGCTTTCGATCTCAGTCACTTGTCTTCTCGCCGTTTTCTCACTGCCTCCATCGCCCTGGTTTGCTATCTAACCCTACTTGAGTTTGGACTTGAAAATGGAGATCATTGAAGAGTATGGACAGTCAAAGATAGGGATTTCAGACTCGGCTGGGGCGGGGGGTGGGGGGGGGGGAGGTGGGGCTGTCGTAGAGAGGGAGAAATTTCCCAGGGCCAACATAAGCTGCCCTTCCCGCAGATGGGCTCTTGAGGCCCCATTGTCGATGCATATTTACCAATGCACGTTAACGCTGGCGCTCTCCCGTACGTTCCCACAGCTCCCGAGGTGATCCAGAGCCAGGACTACAGCCAGCAGTGTGACGTGTGGAGCATCGGCGTCATCCTCTACATGCTGTAAGGCCCCCTCCTCCCCCTGCTCCCTTCACTGCAGCAGCAGCCCGAATAACTCTTAAGCTGAAAACGCTGCGACCACCAGCGTCAAGAACACCTGCTGCTTTGTGCATATTAAAAAAATCATTGTCATCATTTGTCCCTTCCGAAACGAATCTCCACCGTGGCTTTTTGTGTTGTCGGCAGTATAACCGCTGCTTTCGATCTTAGTCACTTGTCTTCTCGCCGTTTTACCACTGCCTCCATCGCCCTGGTTTGCTTTCCAACCCTACTCCTATATCCTTCCACTTTTGTGTTACGTCGACCCATACAGGATCCTGTCCAGGCTTGCATTAACAATGCGCCAGCTCAAATAAAACATGCTAGTATCACAGTCCACGAAGGGTGCCTCCCTCCACTCCGTTAGGAGACTTCACTTTATTAAGAAACATGCGCATGGTAACGGGCAAACGTTCGTGTAGATAGATTTGCACATTAGCTGTTTGCACTTATGCCTGCTTGCGCAAGGGGTTACATGATTACGCGCTTACATGGCTATAATTCTATTGGTGGCCATTCCATGGATAGACTGGGCCCCATTAATGGGAATGTGGAATTGCCACCGCTTGCTCGAGGCTCGTTTGATCCTGGAGACGTGTTGACTTAATTTTACAATTCGCTTGTAACACACATCAGACTGCTTCACAGTCAGAAAATGTCTAAATCATTCGAATGGTTCACATGGGGTGTCAGTTGGAAGATAATGATTACAGGGTTTTTAGAAAATATGGCGTATTCATGGAATGGGTCAGTGATTTGACACATACGCAAAAACAGAATGCACTAACGCCATCCCAGCCTGTGTGTCAGTGCGTCTGTGTGCATGTGACAACATCATCGTGGGAGCATTTCTGCAATTCTAGAAATGCTTCTATTTGATTCACAGTTCTAATTGGTTAACATTATATGCTCAAGTAAAAATCCACTTTGTAGTCATACTAACGATTGCCCACGTCTTTAACGTATCAGAATTGTACGCCCAAAATCGTGGAAATGCCCATAATTTCCGTATCCAGTAAAGTTAGGATAGCAATAGGATATCAATACATAGCAATAAATAAATAATTCCAGCCATTCTCAATCCACCCAAGGATGAAGGCCTATCCATACCGTGTCAGACGTGGCGGTTCTTTGGCCGTGCTTCATCACTCTGGTCAATGCGGGTTGGTGAAGTGTGAGTGCACCAGAACGACCGGTTAACGTATCACTCGCCACTTGATGCTGGCCATGGACAGGGATCGAACTCGGCTTGCTGGGTTCATAGCAGAGTGCACTAACCGTCGCGGGAGCGCTGCGACTGAATAGCAGTACTCTTCGAATTATTTTATTTTTTGTGTGATCTTAGCAATTAGGTAATGATGGGGTCTCCCCACACTAACCGCTCTCTGCACAGGGTTGATTCTGGGGTGTTGACTGGGCTGTTTCATGCCCGCTGCAATTGTTTCGCTCTCATCTGTAAGCCCCCCTGGCCAGCACGCGACGAGCGGCTGCCTCTCGCTTTCCGTTCTGCGGAGCGCCTCACCGCCGCGCTCTGCTGGAAACGTCTCTGAAGCCGACAGTGAGGTCCCGTTGGCGGGTTGCGAGTTAGATCCAATGCTCGAGGTGAACGAGTTACGTTGTAATCTTTCATCCGCCGTCGTGCAGTGGAAGATACTTTTCTTGGTTCGTAATTGGGCGTAATGAAGTGTGTGACCCACGCTCGCTAATGCACTATAAAGATGTGAGGCTTTAATCACGTGGACTGCTGATCATCTCGCCAGCGTGCAGCATAACAACTGGTTATTTAAGCCACTAGCAATTATCTTAACGACCCCTTTAAGGTCAGCTGCACGTAGCCTACAGTAGTGAAGACTTCAGATGCTTGCCCACATATCTCTCTTCTCTCTCAGCGTCAAGTCGCAACACTTCTAGTCATGTTAAGCAGTGGCGGGTCTTGGCTAGCCTAGATAATTGAGTTTACATCGTTCGTGGCCTTGTTAAAATTAGCAATCTTGTTTGATAGCGGAATATTCGAGTGTCATCAGTACCTCGGCAATGGAAGGATTTGCAAGCCGTGGGTTGTGCTGACATGCATTGTATTAATGCATGAAAAATTTAATTACGTGCATAAAGGGTAGGGCCAAAGGTTCCTTTTTCCCCGCTGCATTAGGCTCCTTTTATTTCAGGAGACAGACAGCCTGAGCCAATGTTGGATTGAAGTCTGGCGTGTTCGCAAAGGGGGTTAGTGACCAATTTGTGCGGCAAAAAAAAAATGCCTTTATAGTTTCATACCAATTACGGCTGTAAACTGAGACACTTTTGTTTTCAGTGAGGCTTTTCATTTCATACGGAGAAGCGCTGCCACTCAATTCATCACAAAGACAATGGATTTGCTTGATCAAAATACGAACTCCGAGGCTAAAAAAAAACATATTTAGGAGAGATCTGGGAGGGGGGTTTTCTTTGTTTGTAGCCGTCATTATACGTCGTTGGTTGGATAAAAAAATAGCCCCTGGAATGATGAAGACCATAGTTCACACGGACTTAAGAAAGTGCTCATTCTTAATTGGTTTCTTTTAAGTAAGGTGTGTGTTGTAAACCCTCCTCCACCCGACACAAACAATTAATAAATGTGCCACTTGAATCAAACGTGCCAAATGTATTACTGCTTCAGCAGCACACTACCGTTGTTGTTGTTGTTGGAGAGCACTCTTACGACATTTAGGTTTTTACAAAAAAACTATTTGACCAGGTAAGGCCCACTGAGCTATATAGCTCTTTTTCAGAAGCGACCTGGCCACAAATTATAACTCAACGAAGTGGCTTATCACGTGGACATTTATAGCCGCCAAATACTCTAAATGCACGCTTCTAAATGTGGAGAGGACCTGGAGAATAATCATCGCGATCATGGGGAGAACATGCCAACTCCAACTATACCGTAGGCATCAGGTCGGGAATCAAACCCAGGACCTCCCTGTGTACGAGGCGTGTTAGTTAACATCTTGCCACATTAGCGGTTATACGGCTCACGACCTTTCACTGGAGATTACATCCAGCATCATCAGGTTGTTAACAGGAGCTCAGATTTTGAGTGAAAGCCAACGTATACATTAAATACATTTCTTTCGAGTGAAGTATGGGTGTATTTATGTGCGGAGAGTAAATAATACATGCAAACAATAAACGATGAATTGTACCTCCGCGAAGGGAAAGAAAAGAAAGAAATACCTGTGCTTTTCATGTCATGATTGAAAAGTCACAAAAGCCACACGAGTTCGTGAGTGTCAAATAATTAGTTTAACACTTGTCTTGCTCCACATGCTCAACTGTGCCACCAGTCGTATATCATCCTGCCCTTAGCATGGCATTGCAAATATTTCACTCGATATGACATTGAATTGTCGCAAGTGACTTTAATTACTTGAAGAACGTGATGTTAATGGGTACATGTCGTTTCAAGCTTTGCATTTATGATCATTTGCTTATGTTTAACTCAAGAAAAATTACACTTTTTCAAAATAATGGCTTATTCTATGTTTGATGTTGTGGAATGAAAGGAAAACATTCCCCAAATGAGTTTGGTGAAATTTGGTTTGATATTTTTTTAAACGTTTTAAATATAATAATTATTATTAGCGATGCAGTGCTTATTATCGCACTTGCACTATGAGCGAGACCTGAGTTCAATTCCCCGTCACGACTAACATCATTGGCAAGTGATATTTGAATCAGTCCTGTGCACTTCTCCAAACCGCACCGACCAGCCTGGTGAAGTATGGTCAAACAACCCCCCATGACTGACACAGCATTGGGAAGCCTTCATCCACCAGTAGATTGACACGTAACTTTAATATATAATGGTTTGCATTATTAGTATTCAAATCGAAATAATTGTGTAAATAAACAGCCTTTTACATGTGTTTGAAATATAAACAGTGAATTCTATGTTTTTCTGCGGTCTGTCATCACAAGTTTTGGAAGTGGCTGTACTTGACATCACAAAAAAATATTATAATTTTTTTCTTTTAAAATCTCATAACCTAACTTTAAATTCAAAATGAGAGCACTTTACCTCATGTATATTTTCAAGAGATTATTGAGAAGTTGTTTAGACTCACAGGCATGCATTTGATAACCTTGCCAAAGCACTTAAGTCTGCCAATTGTCAACATTTTGTATTCGTGTAAATATATGCCCACAGAAGCAGATGGGACGGCCAATACTTTGGACGAATATAATCAATATGAGGCAACATCTGGTGGTTAAACGGTTAAAAAAGTACTGCTCATAATAAAAGATGAAATGCAGACTTCTGCATTATACAAGCTTCCCTGTGAGTAATTCATCAGCATTGCGACAGTTTCGTAATATATTATTGATAATGTCATGACGTGGATTTTGTTTAAACTTCCCTCCTGTTTGCCACATTTCACAGATAAGTGTAGACATTAAAGGGACTCTTTAAATTCAAGTCCCGGATTGATGTCACATTTGTATTATCAACGTGCTCTGCTTGTGTTTTATCTTACCGCAAACACAGGTACACATTTCTCATGCAAGAAATCCCAGTGCTTTGCTTGCTGGTATAAATAACGGAGCAACTGCCGCCTGTATGCTGGTACACAGAAACAATTTCTACTTATGATTGCGGTAATTGTAACAAAGTAGGGGTGCCTGTTGCAATGCCATAGCTTTTATTTGGTTTAACTGTCTATTAGAGCATTAAACTTAGTTCAGTTTTCCTTGTACCTTAATGAGCACTGTCTGGTCTTCATCTTCAATGCAGATATTGAAACATTGAAATGTTAATGTGGCAGGAAACAGCCGCTTGGAAGGGTAGCAGCTGTTTACATTCTGCTATGCGTTGTAACTTTATATTTTATCAGAGGAAGGATGGATTGAGTCGACGAAGGCCGGGGTTTTACCCCATTATCTTATAATAAAAACAAGCCAAATAAACTATCGGAGAACTATTAGACACGTTTGCTAATACAAATTTTGTATTTCGTCAGCACACGATAAACATTATTAAAGCAAACATTATGGAAGAATGACTCACATGTTTTGTAAGTTGGGTTACATTAATGGCGTTTTCCTTCATACCAATGGCATAATTCGCTCTGTGTTCATGACGAGTTCATATACAGTGCTATCATTTCTGTACATAAAATATGTTTTACGATAATCAAAATATATTACGGCTTGGATATTTCTTTGAATGAAGAATTTAAGTAATATTTTTTTTACCGAGGGATTTCTTTGCATTTGTGTGCAGCTTGGAATGGTAACAATTCTATATGCAGCACTACTTAATGTATTGCGATGGAACACGCACAATGTAATTAAAGACAATGATTTGAGACATCCAGAGTTCAATTTGTGAAATTAAAAATCCAATTTAAAACATATGCTGGTACACATTTTAAACATTTTAAGTAATGTACTATTATACGGATTCTTTGGAACAGTTTGATATCTTCACCTCTGTTTTCTAAATCACAACAAAACTTAAGAACAAACGCTTGACCCAAGACATATTTCAGTTGTATCTCTTTTTTTGAGCTGTTTTTTAAGTCCCTCGTGCATTCATATTTCATCTCGTGCACCGAATTCACCGTGTGTATGGATATCGCTATCGTTAATTAATTTCCCCTGCATTTTCTCGTGATTAATATGTAGGCGCAACCCACTGGCATATACATTTCTTTTTTCAAATCTCTTGATCATTTTCCTGCGTGTAATAACCACTCGCCTTGGCACACGTTCAGGTGTTGAGTAAACAGTGATACTTTAATTAATTAACAATGCTGTGCGATGAGCCCAAGAATAAATAATAGATGAACCACTGAGCTAGTTAGAATTCGAAAAACCCTAATACAAATTTTAAATTGTAATTTATCATTCACAAAGCCGCTACATTGTTTTAATAGGCAGACTGAAAGTACTGTATAGGTACTTGAATAAAGTGAAATGCAACTAATCATCAGTGACAGCTAGGTAAGGCCCACTGAGCTGTATAGCTCTTCTTTAGAAGCAACCTGGCCACAAACGAAGTGGCTTATCACGTGGAAATTTATAGCAGCCAAATACTCGAAAACAAATATTTCTAAATGGAGGATTGTAACTCGACATTTGTATGTTTTATATTTACAATAAAATTGACTGTTGGCGGGGGGGGGGGGGCAGTGGCACAGTGGTTCGCTCATTGCATAATGATCGTGGCAACCTTAGTTTTTGTTCCCAGCCACGGCTAACATCAGTGGCAAGCGATATTTGAACCGGTGCCGGGACCCCATTTCACTAACCCACACTGACTGGCATGGTAAAGTATGGTGAAATGATCACCATTACTGACTCAAGGTAGGAAGGCTTTCATACAGCAGTTCATTAACAGAGGGCTGTAAATTATTTGTAATGAACAAAAAAAATACTGCGATCTCTTTTCGTTTTTCACATACAATGGAACCCATAATATTGTTTTTTTTGGGTTCGATCGCGTAAATGTAAATGTGTCGTTAAACCTGCCACCACCCGACACAGCCAATTACTAAGGTTTGTCATGTAAACAAAACGTGCCAATTCGTTACTAGTCCAGCGCGCCGGTGTGTTGGAGAGTAAACCCACAACATTTAAAATCTGACTACAACATTTCTCGCCGGTATGCTGTACTAGTAACGAATCGGCACGTTTTGTTCACGTGACAACCCTTGATAATTGGCTGTGTCAGGTGGTGGCACGTTTAGCGATGCGTTTATATTCAAGCGATATAACCCCAAAAAACCTCTATTGTGGTTAATGTTGGTCGCGAAAGCCTCCTCCTGCGTGTTAAACTGACAAATAGAAACCATCTGTAAAACCGTGGCAGATGGCTCTTGGGCCACTTTCCTCATTTGCGACTTTATAGAACACTCTGGCACGTCTGAAGAATTCATGGCAGGTAATGAGTACATTTCACAGGTGGGCGAGTGAAATGTTTTTATCACTACGCACTTTTTTTACTTTGAAAAACATACACAAGTGCCCATAAAATGAATATAAAACCGATCATGCATTGTTGTGGAATATTATAGGTAACAACATGTATTACCAAAGTTCTGTCCTGCATGCCTTTAATAAGCTTGATTCCGCTGATGAGGCCCACAAGGTTGAAACCAGTCCAGAGTTAATTTGCTGAAATAAAATCGGCTGCACAATATTGTTCTGGAAAGGCAAAAGGCCTTTTACTAACAATGCATTTATTTGTATGTGTATGTGAAGATAGAATGGAGGTTTGTTTATGTTAAAATAATGAGGATACTTGAAAGCTATTTGTCAATCCACGGCTTCCCCATGTCATGCTGATGTTCATCATAGGTGTCAATTGAACATACTTGACCACAATGGGCAGTGAGGTTTGGCCAAGATAGGCACGGAGGGGGCCAGAACTGGTTCAGATGTCAATTATCACTGATGTTAACCTCGGGCAGGAATCAACAACTCTCTGGGTTCATAGCACTGTGTGCCAACCATTACACCGGCATTCCACCTCACACCATAAAAAAAACAACTTCTATTCTGTCTCCACAAAATATTTTGTTAATTCTGTTAGTATATTGGCCTATTATACATAAGTCAACCAGAAGATTTTTTTTCTTAGCAAACTCCTCTAGCGCGGTCGGCTACGTATGGTGCGAAAGAAGTTCAACATACATACAAACAACTACTGCTGGATTACCAGATGTTATTGATAAGTGTCCTCTCTGCACCGTGAGCCATCAGCACAATTACAACAATATTGTAATAGGTTTTTACCCTTTTATCTGGCACCAAAACTGACACCTTTATATGATGGCGCCAAAAGGCGCCAAAAGGCGTCATCTGGTCCAACACCAGTGGAGACTAGGCTCTAAGAAAAGCCGTCTCGGGTGTGGACCAATCAAATTCAAGGACAGTGCATATCATTATCAGAGTTGTCTCTTTTTGTTTGCATTTTGACTGCTTGTGTTGTGGTTATTGCAAACATGATCCCTTGTATAAAGGTGTCAGTTTTGGTGCCAGAAAAAAGGGTAAAAAAACTATTACTATATCTTGCTACTGGCAAAGGAAGTCTCATAGAACAACAATATTGTTTCAGTTAATATATTAAATATGACGTTAAGATAAGCCAAGTAGGTGTCACACTATATTTTCTATTTAAGACCAAAAGAGGAGGATATCTCCACAACTCTGGCTGTCGCCTGATGAGGCTAGTTGTAATTACCGGCGAAACGTCGTACTATAATTTTTAATGTTGTGGGATTACTCTCCAACACACCGTTGTGCTAAACTAGTAAAGAATTAGCACGTTTTGTTTACGTGACAGACCTTAGTAATTGGCTGTGGCGGGTTTAACGACGCATTTATATTTATGCAATCTAACTAAAAAACGCCTCATTGAGATAAGTAGACAGTTTCTTTGGAGTATTCATGCTTTGGGGAAAGAGTCAAAGTCACGGAGGAAAACCCCTTCATGCGAGAGACGAACACTTGAACTCCACAGAAAGAGAGAGAGAGTCAGAAACCTACTTGCTCTACCTCCACCAGCAGACACCTTGATGGTCCTTTGCAGGTGGGTGTGTCTCGCACGTACGAACTCGGCACGAATCAAAATATTCCACTTCTTAGTCTGGGATTATGGGCAGAGCAACAGATGTAGATGACTCGACTGAAAAGTAGGTGGATCTCCCATGGGAATCAATTCTCCCAAGGTATGTGCCCCCTGTTCTGACGGCCCCTTGATAAAAAAAAAATCTGTGGTTGCTCGGTGGCTCGTGCAAGCTGCGCTTGAGAGTGAACGAGAGGGAGCAGCGAGTGAGAGTGGATGTTTGCCCTCCCTGTGTGTTTTAATGAAGGCTGTGTGGAGAGCCTCCCTTCATGGCCCATTCGCAAGAGAAGCTCTTTGAGCTGATCATTAAGGGAGAGCTGAGCTTCACCCAGCCAGCCTGGGAGGAGGTCAGCGAGAGCGGTAAGTCATCTCTCGAGTGCTATCTTGCTCATCACAATGTGCCGCTTTTAACTTTCGGATGGGGCGGCGTTAGCGTAAAGTCGCGGCTGCGCTCTCGGATGTCCGTGTTTTTGTGCGTGCGCGCGCGTGTGTACGCGTCCGCGCATGTGTGTGTGCGCGTGCACACCATGTGCCCTCGTGTGCCTGCATGTGAAACGCACGCGTTTATTCCATTCTATTTCATTATATCGTTGAGCCAGATAATTCACGCCTAAAGTGTGTAGCTCTGCCTTGGGATCAGCAGGTGTGTTTTTGAAACCTTCTGCGTTCAATTCTCCACTTTCATGGCACCCAAGAGCTTAAAATAATTGGGCATCAGCTGTCCCACCGCATGTTCCCGAGCACAGACTGGAGTGTATAGCCATAGGTTGAGTGGGCTGATTCTACACCTAGGCTTTCATCTGCTTCCAGCGTAGCCCGTGTCACTTAAAAATATACCACGGTGCTCTATAGGCAGGCCAGGCAGCCGTACTCGGAGGGGGGGGGGGGGGGGGGGGGTTCAGTCCTTTGTCATTCCACTGCTAGATGAAGGTCTCCCCACATCTTGTAGGTCAAGGGGGTTGTTGCTTGACGATAATTCCCCACGCCGGTCAGTGCTGGTTGGATGAAGGGGAACTGGGAGTGGTAAAGGTGGGGGTGGTGGTGGTGGTGGTGGAGGACAAGGGAGTTGAACCCAGGATCGGAATGGTCCAGAAATCACTCGCCGCTGATGTTGGCACCAGGCCAGGAATCAAACTCGGGTGGCTGGGAACCAAACTGCCACCGCTCCACCTCAATGCGATGATTAAAAATATAATGCCATGATGTATTTGTGAACATTTCTAATTGCCAATTAGGATACTGTTACTGCAGGATTTGGTTTGATTTTGAGGATCGTGCGATGCAAAATGCCCTTTGCCTTTGCTATTGTATCATCAACTGATAGATTTTAGAAGCTGTGTGTGTGTGCGGGCTATTCATTGGATTATGTTTTGTGTTAATTTTCTCATTAAATATTAGCGCATTGAAATTTAGTTTTTCATGATGTTATTCAAGAAGAGTATATTTCGCACCAACAATCATATTCGCGAAAGCCTACGTGTTAAACCGAATCATATTCACTAATTATCCTTCCCTTGCAACTCCGATTAGGATGGTTGGCTACGTACGGTATGGAAGAAGTTCAACATACATGCATACAAAGTCTTGGTGTCATAGTTCATGCAAAGCAGCCGGAATGTAAGCTTCTGACCCTTGAGTCGAGGTGCATCAGGATGATGCTAGGAATTTCATGTCAGCATTGGACACGCAACCTGCAAGTTTTAAATAGGAGCCGGCAAGGAATTTCTGTAGGTGACTTCAGGAAGGAGACGTTAAGCTGAGAGAGGCAGGATGGAGGAGGTCATGATTCCGAGTGAGGCATAAGGGTGGCACGCAGATGTTGGGATGTGGCAAGAGCGGAACCTTGGATGACTTACGTTGACATTGCAATAACTGCGAGGTCTAGCAGAAGCAAAGACGCAATGGCAACACCATTGGCAATTACGATCTCTTCAACCAATAATTAAAATGTAATCATATTTTTTTGTTAATATCTCTTTGCAATGCTACCTCTTTCTTATCATTCCGAGATTTGTTTTGTCATTGTGCTGTCGTCAATGTGTTTGTTCAATGAAAAGAACCAAGAAAACACTTTTACTTGGATTTTTAAAAAGTTTAATAATGAAAGCCCATGAGTAAATGAAATGTCTTAATCTTTGCTTACGTTTCAAGAAATGAGACTGTATTGTTCAACACATTTTTCTCTCTTTGTCTTGCCATGGTGACTCAGCTCAGTGCTCAGCAAATGCTACCTTGTTATCCAGCCTCGATAAAGCCCTAATAGGCTGGTCACATATACTTTTTTCCCGCGATTTCATTATTCATCATCATTGCGTGTTATGCTACCAAAATTGAATGGCTATCCTTCAGGCTTAGGCTGGAGGTAGACTGCATTCCGACAGCATTAAAGTGTGGCTCACGGCTCAGCACACTATTTTATGTGACCTTGATTCCTTCTAACTTTTTGGTTTTATCGCCATGGAATGATGGACTTTAAAGTTAGAAAATATTTAACAGGGGGAAAGAAAACTCTTAATTTTGCTATTCACTCGTCATTCCCTCGACTTGCCGACTCACGGAGAGATGAGAGTGGCATTGAGCTGTTTGAGTCACATTGCTTTTACAGGAACTACCACGGCGTTGTACACCTCTTGAAATGCTTTATAATTGTGCACCGTGCCGTCTGCACAAATGAGGTGGGGGGGGGGCGGAAGTCAAATCTTAACACCGCCAACAGGCGGGTTCGTTAACCCTTACAATTTATTGTTCTCTGGATGCCAACAGTGGCAGTTCCAGACGGAAACACACTCCGTCTGTGAGACGCCTTCACAAGAGCGGAGCGACCGCACCAGAGAGGGAGGAACTTGGCAGTCGGGCAATTAAGCCCTCATGAGTGTCTTACCGTAACATTTCGTGGGCACACTTTATCTGTACAGCATGTTATGCATCACTTTATGAGATACATATACACACTATGCAAGATATAATATGTAAATGTTCATGATAATATTCTTCAACGGAAGCGCGGCCTTGACGTGACGAAGAGGCTCGAGGGCCTTGTAGATCTGGGTAGCCCTCCTGGCGCCCGAGCGGTCAGGTACTCGTTGAGAGACGACACAAAATGGGCTCCCTTCATCAACGCACACTCACCAGCATGGCGACGTATGGTCAAACCATCGCCCCCCTCCCACCATGACTGATGCACCATAACCATGGCGCTCGTGATAATATTCTCCTCGGTGACGGGTGTGGTTGAAGCAAGTGACAGTGCTTTCGGGCGAGGGTTGCGAACTTCCGAACTACTCAGTCCAAAGTGGTGACCCAGGGTCTCAGAGGCTCCCACCACGGCAGTTTTAGCATCGCTCATTCTCCACACACGCAGCTAACGGTCGCGATTTGTCTTGCAAGTGAAAAGTGTGACATGCCCATTGTTCCATGTTGTTGGGACGTAAGAGCCATTGTGGCGGGGAAGGCTTGCGGTAGGCCGGTCGTTATGTCACGTTAGGATGAAATAACACCGCAAATGCTGATAATGTCGCGTTGGGAATGAAACGTGGCTTTCATCAGGGTTTGGACGTGAATGGCCCTCGTTTGGCAAACCTGTTAGGGCAGCCCTTAGTGAAATAAACCTGCCACCGGATGGCAGCCTCCGCTCCTCTGATGTGTAAGTTGTGTGTGGCAGGTGCGCACAGCAATAAACAATGGCACTGTGAATTCACCGTATAAAGATATTAAACAACGCAATGACCACTATCATGGCTACTACTCTTACTACTGCTCATGCACCAAGCCTGTCAAAAACAAAAATGTCATTACATTTTTGTTCACGTGATCACTAGTATCGTATCACTCAATAACGTCAGTGTCTTTCTGTTCAGATGTGCGTGAGTGATTGCTCGTCTCCATTAGTGCCCCTTGAGCCAGTGGTGGAAATTCCACATTCCTCTGGCAGGGATCAATCTCTATATAGGACAACCACTGCTGATGAATGGCCCACGATACGTTGAGCTGACACTGTCATATGGGATTTAAATTTATAATCTGCAAATGTAATGTTGGGTGGAGCGGTGACGGTGCTTAGCGCATTGGACTGTGAAACCTGAGTTCGTAGCAAAGTGGGGAGAATTCACCTGCTCAAATTAACGCTTTTTAAATTAACACGAGTAGAACTTTGGCATAAAATGACCACGTGGCCTCACCCAAAAACAAATCCTTGTGTTGGCTCAGTGAAGTTGAAGATAATTGACATGTACGTTCCAACAATACGCCACAAACATCTAGAAGCACAGTACAGGCAGTCCCCAAATAAGAACGTCCAAGTTTGAAACATATGCAATTACGAATGAATCGCCAAAATGTTTTTTTTTTTACAATCTAACTTATGAACATACAACGATTTAATCAAACGTTATGCAATCAAACGCCCTTCACAATAAAATCAAAGTGCTTCATGAGTAAACATGAAATTGCATATATAAAATGTAATTTACACATAATAAAAAGTATACACATAAGTTCAAATTATAGAAAAGAGATTATAAAATACATCTTTAGCTTGATTTAAAAAAACCGAACACCTTCCTTATCAGATGGTGTTCATGGTGCACCCCACATCAACAAAACGTCAACCAGCACGCTGCACCACGAACACCCTACACGCTGCACCACGAACACCCTGCACGCATGATCACGTGACTCAAAAACCTCGACTGAGAATCTCAAACTCAGACTCTCTACCCACAAACCTAGCCCAGGAACCCATAAACCTGGACTACGAACCCACAAACCCGATCCACGAAACCACACATTCACACTCCGAACCCACATTGCCTACTTCCCACATTTCTATATTCTTCAAAACGAACGTGAATGATTATTATTTTAACATCATTATGATACCATGATGATACCATTATGATATTAATGCACGGAGCGTGGTTGCAACTTGGCCTCCCCACTGCCTCTCTCCTCCACAGCCAAGGAGCTGCTGCGAGGGCTTCTCAAGGTGGACCCGGCTCACCGGCTTACGGCCAGCGAGCTTCTGCACGACCACTGGGTCACGGTAGGTACGAAAAGTAAACTGTTAAAAGTGATGCTTTTTTCATTTTATTTTACCAGGTAAGGCCCGTTGAGCTGCTATATTGCTCTTTTACAGAAGCGACCTGCCTATCACGAATGATAGCTCAACGAAGTAGCTTATCACGTGGACACTTATAGCAGCCAACCAAATACTCCCAAAAGCATGTTGATTCCAAATGTGGAGGGAAAAACCGGAGAACCACGGAGAAGAATCTACGCAACCCCAGGAAGAGAGACACGCAAACTCCAAATATACAGGCATCAGGGTCGCGATCGAACACACGACCTCCTGCATACCAGGCGCGTGAGTGAGCATCTCACCACTGCGACACACGAGGCCATCTCCGCTGGCTGGAGGTGGCGTCCCGATTGGGGATCAACACATTTATCACAATACCAGGATTGCGAAGAATTGCACACAAATGCATTGTCTTGAGTCGAGTATTAGGATGCAAATTACAAAAAAATGGGACCTTTAATGTCCCAGTAAGACATACAGATTCCCCAGGATAACAGCTTTCTCTAATAAAAGATGATCCTGGGAAAGACAGCATTGGTAGCAACTCTACTCTTGCCATGGCAGGTATCTGTGATGTGAGTGTAATGCAGTTCCAGTGAATGTGTGTGAACCGTAACTTTTTTTCTGTCTATGTGGGTATAGAGTATGTTGGAGTGGGTGCACTAAGCTATAAAACCTGTCACCTAAGTTCTAAGTCCTGACCATGCCTAACATTACTTCTCAGAGGTGTAACCACTTCTCCCGGGCCACTGCAAGGTGAAATCAGCCTTGACAAAATGAGTATTTGCTGCAGCACGTGAACACCACTATCGGGGGGATAAAGGTAGCCAGGTTATAGTGCCGGTCACACCACCCTTGCATGGCCCGCTTGCCTTGATGGGTGCTCGCTAACATCACTTGTCTTTACGACTATATGAGGGAACTTCGGCTATTTTAATACGATATGTATGCACAGCCCTTTGGAGGTGAAGTTGATGGATCAAGCATATTTGTAGATTTCATCAGCCGCGCAGTGGTGGCTATGCACATGGCCTGTAATCCAGCACTGTGAAGGCAGTGAGGGTTTATGGATTGCACAGATGTGGTGAAACTCCCTTCCCATTGGACGCTCAGGGGGAGCCATACTCTGGCCCGCCAGGAAAAAGGAGTACAGCAAGTGGTCCAATCACAATCGGTTTCCATCCGTACGGGGATAGAATGTTGTCACCTCGCGCGCGAAGGGTTTTCTGCAGGTGCTCTGGTTTCTTCCCACGAGTATAAACACTCACCATTAATTGGCTGTCACGATATCTAAATAAAAACCTAATGCAGGAACCCTGCCTGAAATCTAATCATTTGTCTCGGTGTGGCTTTCCTGGATCAGTAATTAAATCAATATTATTGTATTACGTGATGCGACTCCCTTCACTCAGGACGTATAAGCGACCAGCAGGTGGCAGTGCAGAAAATAAATTCTGACTTGGTAACAAAATAAAATATTACATATTTCCCCACACAAATAATACTAATCGCAGCAATGCATTACATATCTGTGCCAAGGTCGCATTGTCTACTGTTGTAGATGTATCTTTCTCGGCTTGACGGGACAGACGCGTGAAACGGGTTTCGCCCAGTCGCACAAAATCTTTGGACAGTGTCACTTGTGGCTCTGCTCTCCCAACATACAACCGGCGTGCTGTACTAGTGAATTGGCGTGTTCTGTTTACGTGACAAACCCTTGCTAGTTGACGGTGTCGCGTGGTGGCGGGTGTTAACGACACATTTATATATTGACGCGATCTAACCCAAAAAAAACCTCTGTTATGGACATTGGTGGTGAAAGTCTACTGCGTGTTACACAGTGTCACGAAGCATCAAACTTGGCTTCATTCGAAAAAAGTGTCCTTAAATCCTCACTTCTTGGTCTCCTCAACTGAGCTCCAAGCCCACTGATCCTGCATTGAAAATGCCTCGTGCATTACACACAAAGTCTATATTCCAGGACTTTAAGCCGATGATGTCCCGAGGAGAGAGAGAGAGAGAGAGAAAAAAATCCCCACATTTTTAAGGCATTAAAGCTTGGGTATATTTGCACTTGCGTAAGCTGACACGTCTAACTTTGATCATATTTTACGTTTTTGATCATGTATTCATGTGTCCTTAATGAGTGCCTAAAAGAGAGAGTGCGCACGCATTTATATCACTGGGTTAGTACAAATTAAAGTATATACCGTATTAACATATAGAATGGGCTGGCTGCCTTGCATTTAAAGGGAGCACTTTGTGAAGGGCCAAATTGTACTATTCCTGATGAGCGTTTAGTATGCGTCAGTTGACCCCAGGAAGCTGTGTGGATTTGTACAAAATTAAGCAATAACCAAATGGTGTATTTATCTAGGTGCTATGAATCACGTAATAATGGACACAGAAGCTCCATTGCTCATTGCCTATATATTTGATATCAAGGGCAAAAATTGCAACGCTGCATGGATCTCTATTCAAATTATATTATCTTTGTTTTTCCCTGCTTAATAACTGGTTTTGGTTTTTTATTCGAATACAGGAGCGTAGCGTTCTTATGCACATTAATTATTATTAATAAAGGTTTGCTATTTAATTACTGCTTTTCTTTATTGCAAAAAAGCAATTTTGTGGTGAAACTAATGAATTAATAAAAATGTATAAATACATTTTTCATACGTATATAATTATACACACGTCAAAAGTTATTTTAAAATGAACCAATGCGATGATTTTCTTTTGCAATTTTCAACCAAAACTAAAAAATGCTCCTTTTCATCGTAGCTGCTGAATTAAACATGATGTGGGTAAATTAATTTTCTCCGACAATGTTTGAACGTGCAAATTCCATGCAATGCAGGCAATAAAAAAACATAATTACTTCCACAATGGCACAATATATAATTCCGTTTGATTTTATTTGACTGGCCTATCAAGCTGCACAACTTTTGCGGGGTGGGATTTTTCTCATACTTGTCTTCGATGAGATTTGACGTCACCCAATAGCGAAGCGTGCGTACATTTTTTCGGTCGAAGTCGTCCCTGTTAATGCATTGTTATTTATTAATTTCTCGTGCTATGTTTGTCAAATTAATTGTCGTGTCATGTTGGTGGAGAACTCGAGACTCGCAATCGGAAGGCTGTCAGTTTATGTCCCACTAAAGAGTTTACTTGGCTCATGATTCTCGTGGGGGTTGATAAAATAAGTACTTCTTTGTGGGAAGTCAGCAGAGGCTGTCTTGTAGAGAAGTTGACCACCACCATGAGAATGTGGAGCGTATACTTACAATCACTGGTAAAGATGAACTTTTATTTTGGGGAACTCTCAAGCGCTAAACAATTCTTAGGCAGGGCTCCAGGAACGGAAACCATCAGCGGACAGCGATGCCTTCGACAAGCTGAACTTATCTCTGAGCCACTCGCATGGCGTGTGCGGACCGGGTGCTGCCCCCGCAGGGCGACACCTCAAGCCTCGGCAGGCCGCTCAACGTGCTGGAGATGATGAAGCGGTACAAGGAAACTGGCGGCGGCGAATGTGACGGGGATACTCGGTGGGAGGGAGCAGCCGTGCGGCGCGACGCTACCAGCGGCGGTGGCAGCGTCGACGGCGGCGCCGGCAACGGCCTGGGACCCGGTGGGGAGCTGGAGGCTCGGGGGCGCTTGGAGGCCGGAGACGGACGTGGGGCGAGCGAGACGCACGAATGCAAGTCGGCCACGGACGGTGATGTGGCCAGCGGCGGTGGAGGGAGCAGTGGCAGCAAACCACCGACTCCGACTAGAAAGGTGGACATTGCTGCATCATATCATCGTCATCATCATTGGGAGCATTATATCACTCGCCACGTAGGCTTTCACGGTTGTTGCTGTATGATAGCCGTCCGATGTATTTCGCTCCATGTGCTACAACTGAAGAAGCTTTCAGAACGTGGAGTAAAACGTCGGACATCATGCCGAACAGCATGCGGTACAACCCAGAAACACATCATAGAGCTATTGTCAGAAACATCATAATTCACCATCATCATCATCAACCTCTTTTAGAAGGTTTTTTTCGCCACAGTAAGCGATTTGTGAATTGCTACGAACCTCCTTCCTCCCACCCCTCTCCCACAAAGTCCATAAGCACCTCTAATTTAATGCAATTTAATTTACGTCTTTGATCACGTATCAATGCCCCATCAAAAAAATCCAATTTATTTTTTAACATTTTATTTCTCTGGTGTTCCCCGACAGCTCTTTTACCAGCCCTAACAATAAGATAACCCACACCAAAACAAATATAGTGATTATATTCTCCTATTCAGAGTAATAATAAACACCAGACATAACTCTGCCTATTCTTTCATTTGCATGCTTCAACGTTGTATTTTAGATTTTATTTCCAAATTGTTCAGGCCCGGGGTAAGTTGACATTTATCTTTTTTGTGTCAGTAGTTATTTACTTGTCTGTATCACAATTTCAGACACACTTTTCGTCTGTGTCTGCTTTAATAGATGCTTTAAACATTTTTTATTAAAGTTTTTTTTAAATCATCGGTTTGGTCATTACTGGCAACTCTAAACCCGACTCTTAAATGTCACCACGAACAGTGAGGTCTTGGCAATGTCTGTAGTAGTGGTTATGGGAATGAAATTTCATTCCAGATACTCGGATTGCCAGCAACAACCTGCAATCATTTGCAAAATGCTAGTAGTAGGCAGTATAGTTTGAATCTTGATATATAATTTCACGCAATAACTCATTGATTTTTCAATTTGAACCACATGCTAGACATTTGTAAAAAAAAGTTGCTATGTGTTTTATTTTTATCCAGCCATCAGAATTCTGCCTTGTAGCACAGACACCCAATTTCAAGCCGTATTAAATTGGATAATGATGCATCACCAATGGGTAATGACGCATCACCTGAGCAGGTGGTAAAGCCACATCGGGAATTTGGAGTGACCTCCATGCAGGCAGGAGTGGCAGCAGATCGGCACGGAGACAGTTGGCATCCACTTATTTTAAGTGCCTGGCAAAACTTTTTGCTCAGGGGCTCATACATCACGTCCCTTAAATACAAGGTAGCCCTATCACCTGTCTCGTTATTGGTCTGGTTCGCGCTAAATTGATATAATGGCACATTTGTGAGTTAGTAGCAAATTTGTAGTGTGACATGACGTGTTGTTTGGGATTGATTGCAACTGGAGCGGTGCTTTGCCACCAGCAGCAATGTCCGCTTGTGTGCGTGTGTGCGTGGCGAGCGGTAGCGCAGCGGTAAACGCTCTGTGATACGAACCCATCAACCCGCGTTAGATTCCCGCTCACGGCCAACACCAGTGACGATTAGCTGAACCGGTCCTGGGGTTCCTCTAGGTCGACTCAGCCTCAAATGAGTACCCGTTGTGGTGTGTAAACATCGCAACTAGGGAGACAAAGGTGGCCGGGCGTAGTGCTGACCACTCACCAGTGTGCTATGCTGGCCTTTACAGGTGCTCGTTAACAGCAATTGCTCCAAAAGTCTATTAAGGCTATATGCAGGGAGTACAGGTGATGCATCTGCCAGTCATCTCAGTCAGTCAACCCATGGCACCCGGGTGTGTCCTGTGACCTCCTGCCAGCGAACCTTCAACACTCCACGTGGCCTCAAAGTCCATCTCGCCTGGCACAAGCACTCTGGTTACATCATCACCACTTAGTGGCGAATTGCGTGTCCACGGTGCTCGCTAAAAGCTCTTGCCCCAACAGTTGTTTCTTTACATGTTCATGGGGCATATTTATGTCGCGTCTGGCTGGGTTTTTGCAGTGCTTAGGCGCACTTAGTTTACGTTTTGAAAGTTCAAATCCCTTTTGGGATTGACTCAGTGCATCGTGGCCTGGCACCAAAAAACTGACGAGCACTTTTCTTTGTGGTCAAAGGTGGTTGCCTTACGGACAGACTGAACTCTGCCAGAGGTGGAAATTGTAACTGTAATTGTAATTTCCACCTCTGCCTCTAAGTCACAAACAGACACTGTTTCGCATGCCACTCCTCGAGCTCATAATTCACAGCCCTTTGTCAATCTATTGCTGGATGAAGCCCTCCCCGTGCCGCATTTTCCATAGTGGTTGTTTGACCATACCTCACCACTGTGGTCAGCGCGGGTTGGTTAAGGGGTGTTGGGCGGTTAAGGTCCGGTTCCGATATCACATGACACTGATGTTGGCCACGGGAGGAAATAAAACTCAGGTCGACGGGTTCATAGCTCCTAGCACTAAGCACTGTGCTGTGCATGTAGGACTTTTTTCGCACCTTACCTTAACCAACCACGCTAATCGAAAGTGCAGGGGAAAGACAAACTAAGCACAAAAAGCAGTTCGAAGAAAATTAGTTTTCAATTCAGATCTTAAAATTGTGTGTTTTTTTCTCTCAAAGCATTCTCTACTTTCATCGTCATCATCAGTGTTGGTCAATCCACTGCTGAATGAAGACTGTCATAATTCACAGTACTGCTATGTAATAATATTTTAAGTTAAATAGTTCCATGCCCAGCTTAAGGCGAGTTGCGAATACAGGCTCTGTGCTTGCCCAGGCTTGGCTCTTGAGGCTTGAACTCTTCCTTCTTCTCCAACGTCTCCTTCTCCTTATGCTGTCCTGTTTTATACCTCCAAAGCCCCCTCTCTGGAAGCTTCTATCACCCCCCACTCCCTTCGGCCAATCCTCACCCTTGCCCACTAACGGTTCTCATCCGTCCTTCTCCGGGCCACCCTTTCATAATAAAGATTTGTGGGTTAGATGGCGTAAGTATAAATGTGCCGTAACCCTCCACCACCCGACACAGCCACTCAGCAAGGGATTTGTCACGTAAACAAAACGCGCCATTGAGTTACTACTTCAGCCCACCGGTGAGTTTGGAGAGTAAATCCACAACACACCTTGCTTTCTCGTCCATTTTTTACCTTTCAAATCTTTCCTCCAATCCCTTTCAATCTTCGCCTCCCGACCAATCACCAGTGGGAGACCTTGGCCTACTTTCCCGATGGTTTGCCTGACAGTAACACTTGTGTTAGGTATGCGGTCTGTTATCTCGGTCGTTACACACACACATATATTGCACAGAGGAGTTCAGCAATTATTTAAATGCACTCACTTGTAAGCAGAAGGACACTTTTGTCTCCACATTTAAGTGCTTATTTTTCAGTAGATCGGCTTATTGGTTCTCCAGGACCAATATTATCCGGAAGGCTTTGATTTAAGCAAGCAAACTCTGGACCAGTTTGAACCCTCCATGTCTCCTCACAACAATGCATAATGAGTTTGATCTCGGTGAAAGGGAGAATTAACCCCTTTGAGCATGCATATGCAATTACATAATAGAACGAGAAACAAAAGGCCGGAGAAAAAAGATCTTGCTGACCAAAATCTATATCCGTCAGGGTTAATAAGCACCAAGGCTCTGAAGTCAGAATCGATACAACTTTATTGGCAGGATGTATTATTCATACTGGGAGAGATGCCTTTGAACAAGGCTATTAAGTTTTTAGATATGTTAAATATTTAAGCTTGAGTAAGTGTATGCTGCGTTTGTGTGTAGCAGCTGTGTGGAAGAGCTGTAATGCTTTGGCTTAGAGCGGAGTATATTAATTAGCGAGTGCTATTTCTTTCGAGTGCGCAAAATAATTAATGGCAGTGGCACGGGGTGAGCATTCATCATCATCATTGCCGTGGTCATGCGGGAACACTCGCATGGGACGCCGGGCGCTCTAGGCCTAGGGTGGAAAATACCTCGGCACTGTGGTCGCGAGGGGCAGCGATCATCAAACTTCCCACTTGGGGCCCGAAGAGCTCTCTTGCATCGTTCACATGCCGCTTTTAATCACAGTATCAGGTCAGGTGTGGCCGATAGCACTAATTGAATGATTGATAGTTTTAATTTACGACTCACGGATTGCTCAGAAATTAGGCAGGCCGTGTGACCACAGCCTTGTCTACTGTTGCTACCTGTCCTGGTTTTCCCAGGATCATCTCTATTCTGAGGTCGCTATCCTGGGAAATATTGAAATCTTCCTGGAACGTGAAGAGGGACGTTTTTTTGTCAGTTGTGTAATAATAATAATACGCCACTCAAGACAGCGCCTATGCAGGTAGTTCTCAAAGCTTCTAGTATTGTGAAATATTATTTTTGCCGTTTAAGCCTCCTGGCTTTTTGTACCTCAGGTGGCAACGCCAGTCTCGCCGGTTGAACTTGTGTAAAAACTACTGAGGACACGCAAACACTGAGCGCGGATTTTCCTTAAAGTTCTGTCCAACGCAATTGCATTCCGTAAAGAGGAGAGTGGTTGGTATCGGTGGGCAATCGCAACCACAAACTTCTGCAACAAGTGGCCATCGCGCGACCTCTGGCACGGGTGCCACGAGCTGTCTCGTTCTCTGTAGGGCTCCCAAGCATCCATCAAGAAACCCTCTGGGCCGTGTCTCCAGGGAAAGCAAGGCAAGAGAGAAGTCAGCACCAATGGCGTCACCAGGCCCAAGATGGTGAGTTGTAGAGCTCCAGATTTCTTCCTCCCGAGGCTATTTTGGCCTCCTATTCCATGCTAATTGGAAATGTTAGAAGATGTGAGAGTACCTCCAGATCCCACTGGAGGTGGGATCTGGAGGTGGGATCTGGAGGTGGGATTTGAAGGTGGCATCTGGAGGTGGGATCTGGAGGTGGGATCTGGAGGTGGGATTTGAAGGTGGCATTTGGAGGTGGCATCTAGAGGTAGCATCTGGAGGTGGGATTTGAAGGTGGCATCTGGAGGTGGGATTTGAAGGTGGCATCTGGAGGTAAGATTTGACGGTGGCAACTGGAGGTGGGATTTGAAGGTGGCATCTGGAGGTGGGATTTGAAGGTGGCATCTGGAGGTGGGATTTGAAGGTGGCATCTGGAGGTGGGATTTGAAGGTGGCATCTGGAGGTGGGGGTTGCAGCATCGTGCAGAGCATGCCAGCCACCCACCGGCCTGCACAATTTTGTCTGTTCTGATGGATTCGCTCGCCATTTACAGATTTGATTATTGTTGTTGGCGCCTACCTGTCAGAATGCGAGACGGCCCATCGGAGGCAGTGCAGCAAAAGTAGTTGCTGACCCCTCTGTGTGTGTGGGTTTTCTCTGAGTGTTCTAACTTTGTTTCACGCGAGAAAATACTCCGAAAGCCTGCCAAACATCCCATGCACATGCTTCCTGAAAAAGTATTGATATGTGTGTATGTATGTTGAACCTCTTTCGCACCGTATGTAGCCAATCGGAGGTGCGGGGGAAGGACAACCAACTAACTACCCACAAAAAGCAGTTCAAAAGAAATGCGTTTTAAATCTAGATTTAAAAGTGCATAGCTCCAGTGGGCTTCCTAATATCGGAAGGATATTCAGTTTCATAGGTAAATGGGAAAGGTGCAGCCCTGCAATTGCTTGCTCGTACCACTGCTGACTAGAGGGAGCTCTATACAGCCCCTCTAGAGGTATATATTGGCCTACTCTTCCACGTTGGCCAGATGTAGGAGGTGGGAGTACCCACACTCTATCCCACCACACATGACCAGCCGATTAAACCAACGGTAAACTGACTTTAAACAGAACATAATGTGAATATCATGTAATGATAAATGGAGTGCTGAAACATGAAACACGTTTGTTAGCATGTATAGCTACATGCAGCGTTTTGTGACACAGCTTCAAGGGCAAGCGTCAGAGCACACAAGCAGATGTTGGGGCATAAAAAGACTTAACAAACAAACATAGCGACAACATGAGGCCATGTATCGGAGCATAAGGATGCACGTCAGGGCGGACAAATATGATATTTTGCGAAGTCATGCTTGCGATAAAAAAAAAACTATTTTAAACTGACATATTTCACGCGACAATTCCAAGTGCCTTTTATTTTTTACATAAAAGCACCGCACTTGAAATAAAATACCTTGTGAAGCTCAAAGTGGCAATTGTAATAGTAAGTAAGAAGTTGTTGAAGCTACTTTACATGACAAGCATTAACCATTCATCGAGCGCTCTATCACGTGTCAAAGTGGCCATCCATGAGTGCCATCGTTCGACTTGGGATTCTGGTTGAGTGTTAGGTTTATAGTTAGTACTTTGGTTGGTTAGGATTCACGAGTTGATATTTTTTCACGTTTGAGTTCTGACTAATGTTCGAGCGGCTAAAGTTTATTTGTTCTAATTAGAGACAAGGGTTAGCATCAGGTTGAAGGTTATACTGTAGTTAAAGCGATTGTTGGGTTTTGTTTTTATGGTGGCTTAGGTTTATGGTGAGTATCTGAGTAAGAGTCAAGTCAGGAGTTTGTGTTTTAGTTTGTTACATTGGCGGTAGGATACGGTGTTTAGTATACTGTGTGAATGTCATTCGCTTAATCCCAACCCTACGAATGTACTTCTGCTGATGAGACACAGAGTGTCAAAACCAGTCCAGATTTTCCTTGTATTGAACCGATGCTGTTGAAACGATGCACTCCCATAGAATGCTTTGTGGTTGATGGGAAGTGTAAAAAGTTGAAATTTATTTTGTATGTGGAGGGAGAAATATATTTTCTGCCTACTTATTTTGCCTCAAATATAGGGTTGGTTTTGATTTAAAGCTTTCGTGACTGCAGGGATTCATATTCTTGGTTCTTTCGGTAAAGTCACGTAGAAGGGAAACAATAAAATATATTTTTATTATATATATTATTTTATTGTTTCCCTTCTACGTGACTTTACCGAAAGAACCAAGAATATATATAGGGTTGGTATTAACATTTGCTTTAGAGGGTTTTTTTTTAAATATTGAGCTCAGTGTTATAGTTTATGACTAGGATCGTTGCTTGGTTCACTGTATTGTTTGTGATAACACTACTGTGTGTATCCAGTCAGCTGACTGATGTTGTAACACTTCTCTTGCTACAGCAAGGTTGCAAATTCAAATCCAGGTTGGGGGTCATTTCAGCCCATGATCCCTCCCAGGTCAGCAAAATAAAACTACCACTCTTCGGTAAGCCAAACAGCGTTGGTCCTTTGGATGGACGGGTTCCCACCATAGGATCGTGGATTTTCTGCCGCTGCCTCAGCAGCACCAAGAGAGGCGAGTGCCGTCAACCTGCCCCTGGCGAGCAGTGAGACGGTCACTTTCACGTTATTGCACTCCACCACCTTCGGTTCCGAGTGCTGCTCTGATTGCAACGGCGCTGGAATGCATTATTTATTTAACAAAAAAAAATCACAGTTTCTAAAGCACGGCGGCCCAAAGGTTCAAACCGCCAAGACGCATTCACAGCAGGTAACAGTTAATGTGTTTCTTGAATTGAGCAAGGTCACAATAACTTGGGACGATGGGAGTGAGTCCCAAAGTCGGGCAGCGCGAAGAAAAACTACGGAAAGAGGAGCACTGAGGTGGTCGAACACAGTGGACCGAGTCCTCAACACGGGCGGCAAAATCAAAGAGAGAAGTTCGTAGCAGCGATAGAAGAGCAATAAGGAGGCAACCGGCCGCCTACGGCCGAGCGACCGGAGCGAATCAGTGGAAGCCGGGTCATCGGTCAACCTTGGCCACTTCGCGTCGGGCTTAACCGCGCCACATTTTTAACCGTCGTCCGTTCCCGCCGCCCCCACCCCCCGCAGCCCACGGTCGGCCGGCGCGCCAGCATGCCGTGCACGTCGTTGCGCGGCCCGTCCGCGGAGGGCCTTCCCCTCGGGGCCGGCGCGACGGCCCAGCCGCCGCTGGCGCCCACGGTGCGGCGCGCCACGCTCAGCAGCCGCGGGGAGGCGCGGCGGGGGCCGGGGTCGGCCCCGTCGCCCCGGCCCGAGCTGGCGCCCGAAGGCGGCCCGACCACGGGCAGGCCCGGCGGGGGAGGGAGGACCGTGGCACCGTGCGCCAAGAACGCGCACCGCAACTTCTAGGACTTGGGGGGCCGCCGCTGTGGCCGGCTCGCAAGGTTATGCGGCGGGGCTGCTCGAATCTGATCGAAAATTCGCTTCGGCGACTGCCGATTGTGCGACGTAAAGCAAACCGTGCGCTCGTGTTATTGTTATCGTCGTGATTATCGCAATTGCCTTTGGTTTTGGTATTATCGTTATTGTTTGCGTGTATCTTGTGTCATAGGCTGGAGTGCGGTCGCTTCGTTGGTAGAGCAGCTCGGGACTGATTTCGTGAGTTCACGAGGTTGTGAATTTGAATCTCGTCGTCACCATCATCGTCATCCTTCCGTGGGTCGTTAAAATGACCACAACGGGATGAGGCTGCACGACTGGGTGGGGGGAGTCAGCCGCAGTTTGCCACCGTTCCTCGTGGACTGAGAAATAGCCGAGGACGAACAATGGAAATGAGCAGCAGCTCCTCCTCATTCGAGTGTGCAGGCATCGTGGATCTTTAACTGTTTCGCAAACAAACAAACGCAAAGGTGAAAGCGCACTTCTGCCTGCGTTCGAATTGAGCGAGGAATGCGTGACCAAGCGCGTGCGCTGAGAGCGACGCGGCGGGCACTGTTCAACGTGAAAGATGCCATGCCTTATTCATATTCTTAGCTCTTTCGGTAAAGTCACGTTAAAGGGAAGCAACGAAATAATATAATATATATTAAAAAATGCCATGCCTTGTGAAACAAAAATGACGCCGCCTTGTCGGAGCACAGAGGTTAGAGTCAGAGGGAGTGCTGCTGCGGGCTGGCTCACGGGCGCGGTGTCTCCTGGCTGATCGCACAAGCCCCACCACCCGCACAAGCCCCACCACCCGTCAAAGCCCCACCACCCGTGAAAGCCCCACCACCCGCGAAAGCCCCACCTCCTATGTGCGGCAATAGGCGAGTCCATTCTTTTGCACCGCGTCATTTTTTTCTTCACGTTCCGCACTTACAGCACGCGCAAGGCAGCGACGCACCACGTGTCACATCAAACCCGTTTCATCACCGGTACTCAAGGCGTCTGGGCGCAACCTCCTAAAAACTGGTTAAATGACAATTTACTCTTATTTCTATGATCCCACAGATATCATAATTTTGACCGTGATAGCTAGTTTTGAACTGTTAGAGAGTCTGCATGTGTAGACGTGTGTGTGTGTGTGTGTCAGCGCATGATCTGATAATTGTGATCGCCACAACCAACCTTGGGACAAGCATTTTGTCTTTGTGCATTGCACGAGGCTAGCCTGCCGGCGATGCTTCTGCCGTTCGCTTGGCAAAGACTTCAGAGGCAGTGCATGTCCCAGTCCGGTTGGCGAGGGCCAATTAAATGAGACGTGCACCGAGAGACAGATGGGTTTTGGGTTTTTTTTGTGGGTGTTCGAGTCCACACAAAACACCCCCTCGCTCATACTCCCACTTGTTCAGAGTGCACTGCTGATTTTTCTTTTGCGCAGTGCAATTCAGCACCAATTTTGCGGAAGGTCTTGCAGAATGCCAGGGTGCGTAGAATTCTATTACCGATTGCTCATAAAGCACGATTGTCGATTTTTCAGCAACGCGGTCAGTCCAAGTTCTCATTTACACGATCACGTCAGCTGAAGTTTGCGGGCAAAGGCACACGCACAAGCGTGCGGATACAAGTGCGCTGGGCAGCTTTCAGCCCTTGAAATTGGACAATGTTATTTATTTCCTAAATAAGCCTGTGGGAAACTGTTTGCACCAGATCTGATCCGAAGGCCTTGACTGCTGACCCACCGTTAAATAAATGTGACAGCATTACGACCGCACAGCTAAGAGAGGGAGTGCGCCTTGGACACCATTACCCTGTATGCATGAGGTCTTAAATCACCGAGCTCTTATCAATAGCAATAGTGGACAGTGCTAATGGGAGTGGCTTTCCCATTATCTTGGTTATAGGAAATAGAACTCTGCTGAAGGTTTGTAGAAATGTTGCCGAATATATATGTGCATATTGGGAAATAATTCTTAAGTCACTGAAAGCTACAGTGAGGGAAAAAAGTATTTGATCCCCTGCTGATTTTGCACGTTTGCCCACTGACAAAGAAATTATCAGTCTATTATTTTAATGGTAGGTTTATTTGAACAGTGAGAGACAGAATAACAACAAAAAAATCCAGAAAAACGCATGTCAAAAATGTTATAAATTGATTTGCATTTTAATGGAGGGAAATAAGTATTTGACCCCCTCTCAATCAGCAAGATTTCTGGCACCCAGGTGTCTTTTATACAGGTAACGAGCTGACATTAGTTTGTTACCTGTATAAAAGACAAAAGACATCTGTCCACAGAAGCAATCAATCAATCAGATTCCAAACTCTCCACCATGGCCAAGACCAAAGAGCTCTCCAAGGATGTCAGGGACAAGATTGTAGACCTACACAAGGCTGGAATGGGCTACAAGATCATTGCCAAGCAGCTTGGTGAGAAAGTGACAACAGTTGGTGCGATTTTTCGCAAATGGAAGAAACACAAAAGAACTGTCAATCTCCCTCGGCATGGGGCTCCATGCAAGATTTCACCTTGTGGAGTTGCAATGATCATGAGAACGGTGAGGAATCAGCCCAGAACTACGAGGGAGGATATTGTCAATGATCTCAAGGCAGCTGGGACCATAGTCACCAAGAAAACAATTGGTAACACACTACGCCGTGAAGGACTGAAATCCTGCAGCGCCCGCAAAGTCCCCCTGCTCAAGAAAGCACATATACATGCCCATCTGAAGTTTGACAATGAACATCTGAATGATTTAGAGGACAACTGAGTGAAAGTGTTGTGGTCAGATGAGACCAAAATGGAGCTCTTTGGCATCAACTCAACTCGCTGTGTATGGAGGAGGAGGAATGCTGCCTATGACCCCAAGAACACCATCCCCACCGTCAAACATGGAGGTGGAAACATTATGCTTTGGGGGTGTTTTTCTGCTAAGGGGACAGGACAACTTCACCGCATCAAAGGGACGATGGACGGGGCCATGTACCGTCAAATCTTGGGTGAGAATCTCCTTCCCTCAGCCAGGGCATTGAAAATGGGTCGTGGATGGGTATTCCAGCATGGCAATGACCCAAAACACATGGCCAAGGCAATAAAGGAGTGGCTCAGAAGCACATTAAGGTCCTGGAGTGGCCTAGACAGTCTCCAGACCTTAATCCCATAGAAAATCTGTGGAGGGAGCTGAAGGTTCGAGTTGCCAAACGTCAGCCTCGAAACCTTAATGACTTGGAGAAGATCTGCAAAGAGGAGTGGGACAAAATCCCTCCTGAGATGTGTGCAAACCTGGTGGCCAACTACAAGCAACGTCTGACCTCTGTGATTGCCAACAAGGGTTTTGCCACCAAGTACCAAGTCATGTTTTGCAGCGGGGTCAAATACTTATTTCCCTCATTAAAATGCAAATCAATTTATAACATTTTTGACATGCGTTTTTCTGGATTTTTTTTGTTTTTATTCTCTCTCACTGTTCAAATAAACCTACCATTAAAATTATAGACTGATCATTTTTTTGTCAGTGGGCAAACGTACAAAATCAGCAGGGGATCAAATACTTTTTTTCCCACACTGTATACAAGTGTACACATGGAACATGATACCTCGATGTTGTTTTTTGTTGCTGCAAAATTGGATTGGATTCGCAAGGTCCAGTGCACTAATGTGCACGCTGTGGGCTCAAATGATTATGGTAGCAAAAAATGGTGAAATATTCTCAATCCCGGCTCGAGTCGCACCGTTAAATTTCACACTCGCATTCCTCTTTTGCTGTAGCCAAATGCTTGACCACATGCCAGCAGGCTAGAGATGTGCGGGTGGAATCGGTGGATTGCGTAGATATAGAACCACTGTTGTTGGTGGAGCAAGGAGTCAACAAACCCAACAGAAACGTAGCCCCAAGAAGCTCAAGGTACCCTTAGATTCATAATTAATCTCTCAACTCCATCTTGTTTGCATGTCCCTTCTCTCATCTCATTACACATATTTTTGTCAATACGGTGCTTCTCTTATTTCACTACAACCATACCTCTCGCCAATAACCATTCTCTCATCTCACTTAAAGGGGGGCCCTCAAACAATAAATTATGCTCAGGGCCCACAATGGGCCAGAAATGCCACAGGAGGCAGCACAGCAAGTAGGCTTAGAATAGTCTGTGCAGATTTTGAGCATTCTATTTTCATGAACATTGGTTTCTCCAGGTACTCTGGTTTCTTCCCAAATACAAAATTACAATCACGTTTCCCCCCCCCCAAAAAAACATCCCATATAGAACACTCCTGAATAAAGATCAGGGATTCTGTGGGTTCATCCTGATAAAGACCTTGTTCACATTTCATTTCCTGCACCTCCGATGAGCACTGTTAGCGACATATCGTGCCAAAGAAGTTCGACATATTCGTTGACACAGGTCCAATTCACATTGACGGTACAGCTCTTGCGGACATAACTGCATGCTGGCCAGCAGAGGTGTAACGATGTATCGATTCATTGATTAATGTTGAAGCTCACAGTGTGTGCATCAAATCACGTAGTTTAGGGAATTGATATTTACCGATTCAATTCGGACGTATGTAGTGGGATCACACCGCCCCTGCAGACACTTGCAGCCGATAGATTCACCACAGGCCAGCACGCTCACCTGCTAGATTTTCAATGTAGGTTGTAAACTAATTTCTTTAGAACAGCTTTTTGTGTTTAGTTTGTTGTTCTCCCCTGCACCTCCGATTAGCACGGTTGGCTACGCACGGTGCGAAAAAAGTTAAAAGTACATATCCTGATTACACAGGATATGTACTCTGGGTACCATAGTACACCGGCTTTTGCGTAATGTCCGTGATGCAGTCATTTTTAGTCATCTCGACGAGCTGTACTCACGATGCACCACCGCTACGGTGCGTACGAGCGTTCAGGGTTTCAGCGCAATCGCCCTCGCTGCGTTTCGACATCGCGGAGTAGCACTGATGTCGGACTGATTGGTACCCCAGTCACGGAGT